CCCACACTCAGAGTTGAGCTGGATATTAAACTGTTGCCATCACTGTAGACCAGGACTTAACAAATAAAACCAACACTGACTCATTTTGTGATGTCAGCGCCTGAAATTGTTTAAAATTGTGTGCCGAAACAGTTACTTCAGTTTGGGCAGAAACTACACCCGAAAGCTAAAATCAAAGAATTCACGAGCAGAGTAGAAGTTGTTTGTGGAATGCTGTAGCACATAATCTCCTCAAGCCCCTACCCCCCATCCTCTCAGTCAGTGGTGTGAGACAAATAAGCACTCATCTCGCTATCTCTGAAGACACAGATCTAGTTTAAAGAGTTTTTTATACTTCCTGTTCCACCCAGGTGTCATAACAATTTCCGGTTAAACTCTTTACATGGAAACGCGTTTGTTAAATTTAAACATTTTATAATCAAGTACCCTCGATGAAATGGGGGTTTTTTTATATTTACTTGAAATGGTATATATTTGAAATTTTATTTGAAATGATATATTTTATATATCCCAAAATAATTAAGACACCTCTTAGAAAAAAAAGCTAGACTCACACTCAGTGGCCCTTGAAGAATGCAGAATGCACAAATAAGTAAACATTCTTTGTTTAAAAAGCTTAACTGCTTTTATTGCACTAAATGCACACAGATGGGTCCTGTTTCTCTGAAAGGTTCACATGTCCACTGGAAATGTCAGGTTTCCACACTGCAGGCTGCATGTTGGACCTGGACTGAACCTGGACTTAACTTCACATTTACGACGATGACAGAGAAAAATTTCCCCCTTCAGCAAACAAATGTTAAAAGAGCCTTTTAGCATCCAGCTCTGCACGTACAACGTTCTGCACAGTGAAGGTCAAATTTCCAAGAAGGGTAACAAAACGTGCAGTCCATTTTTGAATAGAGAGACAAGTTGTCGTTGTTGTTGTTGTTTTTTTTTAAAAAAGAAAGAAATTATTAGAGACAACCCATTTGCATCTATGGAGAAAATTAGCCAGCAGGTTTATCTAATAGGCTCTACATAAACAGAAAAATTCACTGGGAAAAACAGTATTGGAACAGCCAGCAAACATCCAATGCCTGTCACCTCAGTGCCCTCAGCCTCTATTCTAGGCCGATGCTACCAAACAAAAGAACAAAATACACATGTTCATGAAAAGGAGGACATTGCAAAGGGTGTTTGCTGATCAATAACGAAAACAGTCGGACACTATAGTAATTGCAGAGAGCCACTATACTTGTATTTTCTAGATAATGCCATGTTTAGGTGATTGAAAATCAACAGTGGCAGGGAAAATGACTGTATAGTCTTAAGAAAAGGCACATTGATTGCCTTCAAGCAGCGCTCACGTTCTGATATGACAAATATGAAGGGGGAAATCACTGGACCTAAGTAACAAAAAAGGTCACCCAAACTGTTTTCATTTTCTTTTCCTATCCTCAGCGTTGCTTACCCTTTCCATGGGACTCAAGTCTTGCATGAAAAAAAAAAACTATTCCCCTTTGTCCTTTGTGTAAATTTAATGACGTTATTTATGACTACAAGGGAGGAAATGTTTTAAGGGGCACCTGAAGAAAGCCATCAAAGGATAAAATAATAAAACAGGATCTGGGAAATACACTCATAAGAAATCCTGATGTCAGTGAGCAAGAAGCTAGTCAACCATTAAAAGACTATTTGTGGTGTCCTGCTGGTGAGAAAACATCTAAAAGGGTCAGACAGCCTGGCATGGTGTTTTTTTAGGTCTTTACATAGAACAAAAATGCCATTTTTCCCTTTTGCTTCTCCAGTAGACAGTTAATTATTTGCAATCTAACACGTGTAATGTCGGTGATTTAATCAAGGAGCTCGGGAATGACACTCAAATGTCATCAAGAGTGTTGATGAGGGTCATGTCAAAGAGATTCATAGCTAATGATACTGCATAGTAGCTTTTATGTGCTATGAGCCTTTAGGTTTTATCACAAGAATGCACAATTTTACAAAATAATATAACCTCTACCTTTTATTTTAGACTTGAATATATAGAAAAAAGCCAAACGTGGTGTGTTTTCTTCAAACTCTGCAAGCTTCTGTTTATATCACTTTATTTGACAGCAAGGAAGAGTAAAGGTTTTCCAGAAATAAAGCTAAAAAACAAATCTGCTTGTTTTGACAGCAGCACTGATTGTCACACTGAGGTGAAATGGCTCACCCTTCCCCGATTGCTCTGTGCCTTTCATCTTTTACTGAGTCCTAAAAAACACATGTTCAATTCACAATTCCTGAGCAAGTGTCAGGCTGTTATTGTTTGTCCGCTGCAAGGTCGTCGTAAAGCTCATCGAGTGACACATCTGAGAAACTTAAAGTCTCTCTATCCCACAGCACTCTCTTGTGAAAAGACAAGGAGGGGGTGAAAATTAGGCCAGGATATAGAAAATAATAACTCAGTAGTTACTGTCCTGAGGCTGTTTTCAAGCTGCCTTGTTGGCCGTTTATGAGACCTTCTGTCACCAGTGTAGATATACTATTGTCAGATACATGACCTGGTCAAGGACACAGTATTAGGTTTGCTTTCTGCGTTCGCTGCCTCTTCTACTGCCGTTTCTGTTTTCTCAAAAATTACATAACTGAAACTGAACAGTGCAAAATGATCACTATAGATTTCAGGCACCAACAAACGCGTGTAACCTCAACACAAGGCCATTGAATCTACATGTCTCGATGGTGTATTACATTATACAAAGCAAGAATGTGTGTCGAATAGAAAACAGTTTTTAGTTTAATTCGCTGGTATATTTAATTATGATTATTTACTTATGGGACTTTTTTTCCCAAGCAGTCAGCCATTTTTCCAAATTTTACAACTGTGCACAGTTTAAATTGTATAGATTGAATGTTGAAGAAGAGCGTATTGAAGTATGGTTTCTTATTGGGGCTATAAACTGTCTAGACAACACTCCCCTCTTTTTCACCTTCAGCAAGTCCCTTAAAGGACATTTGTTTATTTGAATATAATGCCGTGTCTTTGTCTCACACTTATCAGCTGTGGCATTATATAACACTTACTGAGGCATTTTAGAGTGATAGAGAATGGTAGAAAGGCCAGTATCACCAAGAGTTACTGAAACTTTGCATACTCCTGTCTGTAGGTCATTTAAATGATATTTTCTTAAATGAACATCAGCGCTTTCTCCTAGTATCAATCACTCTTTCATGCATGGAGCTACTTGTTAAAAGGAAAATCCAAATTAAAAATGTTTCCTGAACTTATCAGGGTCAAAAACATGTTTTGTATAAATACAAAAAAAATTCAAAGGATACAGTGCAAGCTGATCTGATTTTCACATAGGAAGTTGCATGAAAACCAGCCTTAACTACAGTGTTGCGGTTTATACTTTTGTTTTTTGCTTTTCTTAAAACTTTAACATTCAAGCCTCAATCTATGAAGCATGAACACACTTGCCCTAACTTGCCTAATAGACTACAAGATCTGCATTTATGTGTCAATTGTGCTTCCACGAACAGTTTAATCCCTTTACAAGCTTTATATCTGTATGCCTGTTGCTTCTTTTCCTGTCAACATGCATAATTTTACTCAAAATACACTTTTGTCAAACTACAGTGACCTTCACTGTCCTCTATGAAAGCAACACTTTAGTATGCCCTTGGTATACCAATTAATGTCTGCATGAGTTAATCTGCGAAAAAGACCTACAAATAGAACTCCAAGGTTACACTACAACCATATTCTGTTATTCCTATACTTTGCCCCACACACACAGTCTGCAGCAAGACTGTGTGTTTCCACCGGAACATATAGCACCCTTTAGAAATCTGTGGGTGACTGCTGTTGTGTGGTGAGCTATAAACATGCAGGAGGTGATCACTGTGCTCTGCATTAATAAAGGTTCCCCCTTTGTAAATTCTCCTTTGTGATGTGTAGTGAACTTCCTGGAATGTTTTTTCGGCACACCGACTGTGCCAACAATGTGAATGCTAATGTGAAGCAGGACCAACAGAGTCATTCCAGCATCATCCTGATCCCATAACAGAACCCTTGTTTTTTTTTTCTTTATTTTGATTTCCCCCCCCTGACAAAACAACATTATTATGGCGAGTACAGCAGCAGGAAATACAGTGACAGATTCAGCCTCTTTAATAAATAATACACCACTGCAAATGGTTAACCACACAGCAGTTAGGGACATCACCTAGCATCACAATAATTTATTGACCAGCTCCTTCAATGCAAAACCACACATTTTGAGCTATTTTGAAAAAAGAGTTGCGTAGTGGGGGAGCTTGACCGTTTGGCTTTCTCATTCATTCAAATATAACCAACAAGACGTTGTTTTCATTTCATGTTTGACTCTGTTTCCTGTTATGGCTCAACGGTATCCTTAGATGACTGTGTTCCCTCCATTAGTGTACATCCTTGAGACAAAACTACTCTAACGCTTCATATTTAGGAGATCAACATTTACTAGTGCACAATATTCTTTTTTAAAAAGATTAAAGGGAGGGGCACATATGTGCATGTACATGGTTATAGCCTATGTTTTGATGAGCATAAACTGACTTTCTGTAGAACTAATTTGCCATATTTCCCTGTAGGAACATCCTACTTAGTCTACAGTGATGCTATTGGATACAAAACGCTGTATGTAAAATATGTGGAGTTTCCTGGAAGGGGATGGCCAAAAACCCATAAACAATAAGTTGCTTTAATGAAAGTAAATGGCATAAAGTAGGATCGGATCATTAAATTTCGCTGCTTTGAGTTTAAAGTCAAGGAAACAATATTTGGCTGAACTCTCGGTCGCCTTTGTCTTTCTGTGGCAGGCAAAATATAGTTTTCCTGAACAAGGAAAAGTACTATAAGTTGGGTGTTATTAACCCTGCCTCCATCCAGAGCGCCATCCACTAGCATGGCTCCTCCCGCCCCCTTCTGGCACTCTGCTCCGCTCATCAATAGGGAGCGCATTTAAATAATGTGTGAGCGCTTGGATCAGAGCCAATCAGCTGTCAGGGGACCGTGATAAATCGCAATGCATTATTGATAATAATAATTACGTTGACATGCGCATTTCTACTTTAGGGGTTAATTTTCTGAGCCGAAGAATCTGTTGAAGAAGGGGAGGAAATTTGTCTGTAACTCTTTGCTCCTGATGGTCGCACCATGTCGCGGCGCAAGCAAGCCAAACCGCAGCACATCAACTCCGACGAACCCGGATCGATGGAAAATGGTAAGTTTACGCAAAAAGATGAGCTTGTTGGCAAGAAAAGTTAACATGTAGGAATGACACAGTATCGACATCTTATTTAAAAGTGTGGAGAGGGGCTGCTTTTACATTGTCCTCCTCGCACTTTGACCTGTTGCTGTCCCTCTCAACTGACCGGGGCTAAAACTTCGGTCGAGAAGCGACACATTTAGAAATCAGGTGCTCCACGAGGGGCTCTTTTAAATTGAAACATTGTAAGCCTTCTGTCTCTCTCTTTTTTGGTAAAAGCCGAAAAGCATCGTTTATTCTTGGCTCTGTTTTGTCTTGTTTCGTTGTTTATATTGACGGTTTGATTCTAATGAATAAATTGAGGTTGTTTCGCGGACTAAATTAAAGACGGTAAAGTACTTTGAACTTTTTGTTGATTCATTGAAGGGCACGTTGCTACATTTTGGATTGTTTACGCTTTTTACATTTAGAATAATTACCTAATTTGGTCAGGATGCCTGTCGTGTAACTTTATTTCATTCACGTATTGCGAGCTGGTTTTACTGTTAAATTTGAATCGGCTTTTTTAGATTTTGCGCAGTACCTTTGACTCTTTGTGCCGGATTCCCATAGGTATCATTACAGTTTATTCTGCTGTAATTATAATTATCCGTACTTTCTGCCCCTTGTAATTAATAATTGTGTAATCTGGCGAGAGTTTATTTGCAAATCTGCGCCTCAGTTGGAAGTTTCAGACAAAGGTACCCAAAACTGTATGAAATATGACTCTGTAGTAAGCCGACCTAAAGGCAATAAATCCCCCAGTTTAATGCATGACTGTTTCCTTTCGTACATATGTGGAGAGGTGGGGGATGGAGCAGTGGCCTTTTTGTGGAGACTGGGTGGGGGTGCGTTTTGGTGTTGCCATAAGCAAACTTCAGCGCCGCTGTAGCCCTCATAATTAGAAAACTTGGGATGACAAGTTTTCCCTTTTTTTTCATGAACTGTAGGGCATAAAATGCCAAAAGGTTATGCATGAATCTTATTCAGCCCGCATAAGCTGAACGGTTATCTCTGACCTCCTCATGTTGTCCACCAAAGGTGATCACAGGAGGCTCATGCGCCGTCAAGTGGCGAGCGAGTGTGCTGCGTCCTGTAGTTATCTAATGATGGATCCGCTCTGATAAGGACTTTTTTTTTTTCTTTAGTTTTAAATGCTGCTAAGCTGCATCATGGGTGCTTTTCCAGTCGACGTTAACAGTGTTGCAGAGCCATAGTTAGCGCTTCCTCATGGATCAGAATGTAATGCTGTTTGCAAATTTTTCGTGACACCGCCTCAGTGCCGCCTGGTGAGCAATTAACAAGTCCAGCAGATTCCTTGGGCAAATGCAAACAGGTGGTCTACCCCCCATTCTTCCAGGCATTAGCATTTAACAATACACCCAGTTGTAAAATGGTCTCTTGGTTAGCACACAAATTAAAATGCTCACTTGGAGCACTTATCAATCTTTCAAAAGACTGAAAAATGCTTGGGAAGTTTTTTAATAAATGTAAAGCTGTCTTGTGTTTGAGCCATTCTCATTTATACAATATAAAACCTGCAATTTAGAGAAATTGTTTCTATTTGTTTACTGTGGAAATAAAATTGATCTTTAACTGGGGTTAGTTTAGTGTAAGGTGTTTCCTTTTATGTGTGTGTTTTTTGATGGGGGGGTCTTTTTTTTTTTTTTTTTTTTTTCAGAATCTAACTTGAGTGTAACTTGATACTCAATCTGTAGCTCTTTGTTTCTGTGGACATTGTTCTAGGTAGCCAAAGATAAATGATTGCCCTCTACAGGCCCTTTGGACAATAGAGCAATTCACAATTTTTACAGCCTGGTGCAGTTACCTAGAGAGAGTGGACAAAACAAGGGGGGGACCCTTTTAGATGTGATGGTGTGAGCCAGTGAATAAATACATTACACCAAATCAGCAAAATCTCAGATCTTGACAAATGAACAAAACATTGTAGCCTTTAATGTGTTACAGGAATTACATTATTTGATTTGACGAACATGGTTGTAATTGTATGAGAAGTATTCATGTAAATATTTTATTCTCTCGTTGAAGGGATTCATCAAGGTGATTCCGCTGAGGAGATTGGAAATGAAGTAAAGAGGTTCAGAATGGATGAAACCAGAGTGTGCACCAAGTGCTGTGCTGAATTCTTCGACGAAGAAGAATTTCTTGAACATGAGAAAAATTGCACAAAAAGTCAGCAAGTGGTCATCATGAAAGATGGAGACGGCAGTGACGAGCCTGAGAAATATTCACAGGGTTCTTCTGAAGGCCTTGCCAGTGATCACGAAGACGGCCACTCCAGCAATCATTCTCCATCGCGTGCCAACACAGACCAGCTGGAAAGATTGGAGGAGGAGTCCAGTGCAAATGCAGATGATTCCAGACACCAGGATCGGGGAGAGATGTCTGCTAGTCCTGAGATGACTTTCCAACCCTCCCCGAAAAGGCAAGATTCAAATGTTACTCTTGAAACCATGGCTGACACTAAAGTGGCAGTTTCCCAAATTCCTTCAAACACTTCTCAGACTTCACAGGATGCCATGCAGGCCATTCCAGTAATCCTGGAACAGCTAGTGTGCCTCCAGCAGCAACAGCTACAGCAAATCCAGCTCACCGAACAGATCAGAATCCAAATAGCCATGATGGTCCCACAGAGTCTCCAATCATCAGTAGAGTCAACAATGGATCCTCTGAGAGCCCTTGGTGCACATCTCTCTCAGCAACTGTCTGCTGCAGCAGCACTGATAGGAAAAAGAACCGGCAGTCAGAGCCTTTCCATGGAGAAACTAAAGCAAGGTAAACTACCTCTACCCACTGGCATGTCTCCTGCTCTGAATGCAGGAATGGGCTCGATGACGTCAAACACAGACCTTTTAAAGGGTGCTCCAGATCTAGCCGGACGTTTACCAGTACTCATGCCACAGTCTTCAGGTGTTCTGGGTTTCCCTAGTGTGTTCAGTGGAGTCCAGGCAGGGATCGATGCCTCCAAAAAAGTGAAGCCAAAGATGCTGAACATCCCACCGGAATCAAAGAGTGGGGACCCACTATACAAGCACAAGTGCAAATACTGTGGAAAGACTTTTGGCAATGACAGTGCCCTCCAGATTCATTTGCGTTCTCACACCGGGGAGAGGCCTTTCAAGTGTAACATCTGCGGAAACCGTTTCACAACCAAGGGAAACCTCAAAGTGCATTTCCAGCGGCATAAAGACAAATATCCTAACATCAGCATGAATCCTCATCCTGTACCCGAGCACCTTGACAATATTCCGACCAGCAGTGGGATTCCCTTTGGTATGTCCGTACCCATGGATGAGTCAAACATAACCGAAATGAAGCCTGTGCCAAGTCACCCAGCGGCTGTTTTCAGCCCATCATCCATGCCAGGGTTCAAAACATTTGATGGCTTTGGGGGTGATCCATTTTCCCAGAGACCCTCGCCATCAACAAGTAATGGCTCCCCAAATGTTTCGTCTGTGTATGGCCAAGACGTGGGCCTGGAGCCAAACCAGAAAGATGCTAAAGAGATGCTTGGAGCATTGCACCACATGAATGGTAATTCTCTCTTAGGAGAGCAAAGCTCTGGAACAGCAAAACTTCAGCAGATGGTGGATGGACTGGAGAAGAAGACTGGTGATCCCAATGAGTGTGTGATCTGCCATAGGGTACTGAGTTGTCAGAGCTCACTCAAAATGCATTATCGCACACACACTGGCGAAAGGCCGTACAAGTGCAAAATCTGTGGCCGCGCATTCACCACAAAGGGTAACCTCAAGGCTCATTATGGTGTGCACAGGGCTAGCACTCCTCTTAAAATGCAACACTCATGCCCAATCTGCCAGAAAAAGTTCACAAATGCAGTGGTTCTACAGCAGCACATTCGCATGCACATGGGTGGGCAGATCCCCAACACCCCCATGCCAGAAAACCAGTTTGAACCAGCAGAAGCAATTGTGCCTTCTCTCCCAGAAGAGAAGTCTACTGACACCAACGGATTTGAAGCCAGCATGGAAGATCAAGAGCCAGAGCTTAACAAGACAGCAAATGACTCCTCCAGTTCCCTGCCATCTGCCGCTGAGGAGCAACCACAGAAGCTTGCAGCCCCTGTAATGTCCAGCCTAGATGTTTTGAAGAATCTCTCAAATGCTCTTGCACTGAAACGACAAAATAGCACTACTTCAGAAAGTGAAGGAACATCCAAAGAATCCCCACCAGCTCAGAGAGAGCAGGAGTATCAAAACGGCCATAGTCCCTCCATCACAGACTCGGCTGCGTCTTTTCGCTCCTCTTCTCCAGTTAACAACATTAATGGCAAATCTCCTCAGCCTGCTCTTGATGAATTTCCCCAGAGCGGGTCAAAACCAGAGTCAGATGACGCTAAAGATGAGTCAAGTGGCGCACTTGACCTCACAGCTTCCAGCAGCTTCACCCCAAAAGCAATTAAGGAAGAGCCTGGCATGTCTTTTTCAAATGGAGACTATGGTAAGTTTACAAGTTGAGTGAAGTGTATTAGATGCTGTCATCTTGAATGTGTAGACCTAATCTTCAATCTTTCTGTATTAGTAGCTTCCAGTAACATGCCTTTCATGAGGATACCACCAACGTTGGCCAGTCTAGAGATGAAGGTTCCCCCAGAGAATCCTCTGGGCCCTCACGGGTTGTTCAGCTCCCATGTGCCTCAGGGAACAGCCATGCCCTCCTCAGTCTCCCCTGCACCACGACGATCAGCCAAACCACATGTGTGCCATGTCTGTGGCAAGAACTTCTCCTCTGCCAGTGCCCTGCAGATCCATGAGCGCACACATACAGGAGAGAAGCCTTTCGCCTGCCACATTTGTGGCAGGGCTTTCACAACAAAGGGAAATCTAAAGGTGAGTCATCACTTGTCTGAGAAATGGTTAAATTAGGCATTAGAGTTCATGTATATAGATGATGTACTGAAAAATAAGCATTTTGGTTTTGTTTTTTTGTTTTTTAAGGTTCATATTGGCACCCACATGTGGAACAACTCATCAAGGCGTGGCCAGCGTCTGTCTCTAGATAATCCCATGGCGTTGATTGCAATGACCCCAGATGCAAAGATGATGCCAGAAATGATGCAGGCCCCCAAAGAGCTGGTCGCTCCTCCGATGAACTTTGACCCATCTCTGTGGAACCAGTATGCGACTGCTACCTTCAGTGGTGGCCTGACCATGAAGACCAACGAAATTTCTGTCATCCAGGGAGGTGGCATCCCACTCCCTGGGAGCCCTGCTGGTGGGCCCCTGATTGGCTCCACTGGAGGCCTCATGAAGATTGATGGATCCCACTCAGGCTTGCCTGCCACCATGGCTGAAATTGAGAAAAATGGCTCAGACAGTGTGCCAAAATCACAGTTTCCACATTTCATGGAAGAGGGCAAAATAGCAGTTAATTAGTTTCCCTTGTCTTTCTTTCTTTATCCATCAGGTAATAAACACATTCACTTTTGTGAATGTCTCTCTTCTTTATTGAGGTACAATCAATATTCTGAGAAATCCTTGTTGATTTGCTGTTAAATTGGTTAAAAATGTCCAATTAACTTTATGGCAGCTATTTTCCTCCTGATCTCAGTGATTCTTAAGTGTTATTACTAGTCAAATCTGTATAACTGCTAGGGATGCATCAATACAACAGCTTTTTTTTTTTTTTTTTTTGAAGGACATTGACAAAGAAGACTTGCTGATCTTTCGATTAATGTCTGTCTATTGTTGCATAAACTTTGATGGCATGATGAAGCGCTGAAAAACTTTATTAATTTAGTTATAAAAAGATTTCTCTGGTTCCCTGGTACAGAAGGGGAGGAGAATGACAATATCCCAAGCTCATGATTCCAGTTGGTGCATCCCTAAAAACTACTGTAGTTGTATTTTATTTCATGTAATTATATATGCGGGTATTTGTTTTCTTTTCTTTTTTTCCCCAGTGAGTTGTTTTGTTGTCTCTCCAGAAATTGAATGTATAACTTACTTGAAACTGCTTTAATTCAAGACTGTCTCCTTGATACTTTTGAAGGATTTTGACTTTAATAGGAAAATAACCTGAACGTGCCAGCCTGATGAGTCAGAAATAATGACGTATTTGACCACATGTGTCCATACTACTTCCCCCTCCTGTTGTGTGCCATAGGTTACATGATATTGTACATATTTGTAGTGGTAACTGTTATTAGCTTGTCTGTAATTGAAGAGGCGTTCTGATCAGATTAATGTAATGGGCAATGCAAAAATCTCTCAAAGTGCAACAGTTCAGTCATAGCTGAATTTTGGTTGCACTGGCGCCAGGATACAGTAGTTAATAACTTGTACCCTTTTCCAAGTGCCTAGTCTGATTTCATGGCACCATCTGGTTGTAACAAAGGTGCTGTTTGACTTGAGATATTGTGTTGTGACATGGCATGTATATCACATCTTTGTCAGCTTACTAAAATCATTTTTTACACCCACGTAGTCTACTTCTACAACTACGGAGTAAAATTTTGTTGGCTGAGCTCTGAAGGCTATCCCATGCTTAATGTTCTCATGCCTGCACTTTATTTAAGGTTTTGGTTTCATTTACATTGTATAGATACATTTACATCACTGCTTAATTGTACTGGCTAAAAGGGGAAGAGGTCAAGCCAACATTTGTATGTGTATTTCCTTCCTGTAACAAACAGCTGTTTACGGTAATATACAACTTGTAGCATGATTAATTTATTTATATTACACAGTGCTTGAGTTTAGGGGTAAGTTCTACCTCTCTTAGATTTTAGTTGTCCCACATGCCCCTTACACTCAATGCAATGCTCTACGTTTCTGGGTACATTGTTTAGTTTAGTTTTTTTTCCGATAATGCGATAAGATTTCTCACTCTCAACCTGCTGAGTTGAACAGTAATGAATGTATGTCTGACACTTTACACAACTCAGAATGGTCCAAGTGCTTTGTAGGTCCCTGCTGTACATTCCTTATTGATATGCATTTGCCAAGTTGTGCCTTTCTTTAGCAACCATGTCAGAAACTGCTTTCAAGTTGTCTCTACAGTTCAAGTAATGTTGAGCCAGTTTGATCCGTTTACAGTGTAAATATTTCTTCCTTTTTTTTTTTTCTTTTTTTTCAAAGGTTTCCTTCACATAAATGTTTTCTGATTTTTGAAAAATAAAATCAGGGTGACTTTTTCAACATTCCTCCTGTCATTACTTCAAAGATCATCGAACTTTAGCGATGAAAATAAATAAATACATTTTTAAAAAGCCTTAAGACTAGACAGCATTGTGCTAGCCAGACCTCTAGGCTAATATTTATGGCTACACAGGCTTGTTTGAATGTACATAAAATCCCTTATTTACATAAATTCACCCTTCGATAACTACTGCAATTTTTATTTTCTTTTTCTAAATTCTCATTTCCCAACAGGAGCTATTAATCCTTTGCCAGTTTGCATTCTCAACGAAAAACGATTTGCATCCCCAACTGAAGCATGCTGTCCAATCGTCCATTTTCGGTAATCAGCACAGTGGCCTCTTCCTGAGGAATTTTGAAATGATCCATTAGTTTGCATAAGTCTCCCTATGGAATACAAAGTAGTTCCAGGCAAACAGAGTGAGCAGATATACAGAGAAACCTGTAATGCAAAAATACAGAATGGCAATCATAACCGTCAGATGTCTTTGTTGAGGAGAGTTGTTTGCATGTCAGCTCATTTTAATAGTACCTTTTATGCAATATCATTTTAGATTTTGTAAGGGCTAACAAAAAGATGGCTCTGTAGTGTTGTGGTTTACACATTCACCCTACCAAGCAAAAGCTCCCCAGTTTGAGGATACACAAATCCCTTTGGGGATGTGTCAGGAAGCACATCTAGTGTAAAAATCTGCCAAATCAAAACATGCAGAGCTACCTGCTGGGAAAAGCCTTGTGGTTAAGGAAGCAGCATTACAGACAACAAAAAGATACAAAGATAGTGCAATGTTTTATGCGTATATCTGAAATATGGCGCACGATAGATGCTTTCATAGTGGCTGCCTTTTCGCATCATTTTTTCAATCGACTCTTTCTCTGTCACAGGCTGAGGTCAAAGTTGTGGGATGCAAATTTAATTGCTGTAGGTTAAACTCATTATACAAATTTTACAATTTGCTACAGTCGTTTAAGTTTACCCTTTTGTCCTTGCTCAAGCCTTTTTAAATAAGCACTTTTACAGTCTTATGAGATCTCTTCTAATGTGCTCAAAAATGCCCCAATAGGCTGATGACTGGCCCATTTGACTGCATTACACTGGGGTGTGTTTTAATATTGGACGCCTGGATGGAAGGATGGATGGGTTCGATTCAGTTTTATTTACATAATGCCAAATCACGACAACAGATGCCTCGAGGTGGTTTTTATTGTAAGGTAAAGACCCTACAATAATACAGAGAAACGCTTTCGACAGGAAGAAACCTCTTAGAACCAGGCTCAGGGAAAGGGAGCCTTCTGCCATAGATGGATGGATGGATTGAGCGATATGTGTTAATCACATTACAGTCTATCAGATCACATCACTTTCTACTCAGATTGTTTGTGGGTATTTTGGAAAGATGCTGAAATTAGTGAAAAACAAATCAATACCACTCCTTTCCAGTCTTAAGAACCATGCTGAATAAGAATAGTGCTAGCGAATATGGGTCATAAAAACTGCACAAACCTGTGTTTGGAGAAAAGCCTTACTGTCACCCAAACCATACCCCAACTGTAAAGCACAGTGGCGAGAACATCATGGTTTGGGGCTGCTTTGCTGCAGGCTTTGCGGTCATCAGGTAGCATTGAAATTAAAACGATAACATTTTATTAAACATATAAACATTTATCAAGTAAAAGATATTGTACAGCTGAGTATCAGAGCAGCAGTCCTTGAGATGGTCCTATCAACATGTCAGAAAAATGACAGAAATAATGAAAAAGGAAAAAACAAGGGGTTGGAAGAGTTAATAATAAAGCCAATAATTTTTGATTAAAAAGAGAAGACTCCTCAGTCAAGACAGTCCAGAAATAATGTATGAAATTCAACAGCTTGTCTATTTTAATGTCAAATAAAATTTATGACACTAATTCAGCTATTTAAATTTTTTAGTGCCAAATTTCACTTGATAACGGTTTGCTAAATTTTTTGTCTCTCTCGATTTTCTTTAAAAAAAATAATTTTTTTTACTGTATTTATTTCTAATGTAATGTGTCCTGGATTTCCTGTACTCCTCACTGTGTCTCGTTCGTTTTTGGTCTTTCCTGTGCCACCCCATTGAAAAAAAAATACTATTACTAGTACTATACTATTAAAACTAAAACACCTTATTTGAAAAAATAATACAACAAGTAATAATTAATGACACGAGTGTGGTATAGTACTCCAGTGGGAGATTGGTTTGCTCGGTGTAGCACTGTCCCAGCACTGCTTCCCTGCTGTCACTCAGGGAAGCCTCCGCCCAGCAGCTCCACAGCCAAGCGGACTCCTTCCAGCTTCCACCCGCGACAAGGGGCTGCAGGAATGACCGACAATATCCCTCTACAACCCGTGAGGCGACCGAAAAGACACGACAGTAAACACAGAAATGGGTAAGGGCGTTATACAGCTCGGTATTATCACTGTGAAGCCATTTGTTTACGTGCTTCGCTCGTCGCATCTCCTGCTGTCACTGTAGCGGTTAAAAGTGTTTACAGGAGCGCGTCGACATTGTCTCAGAAACCAGCTAAGCAGCTTTCTGGGTAAAATATAACAGTACGGAGGGAAACATAAGGACAAGCAGCCCGTAGATGTACTAATAAATATGATGTAGCTATTCATTGTAGCTTTGAAACGGCTAATGTTAGCCGGACACATCCTTGTTCCGGGGTTGCAGTAGCAAGTGCATATTAACGCCCATTGTCAATATTTGCTCGCCTGACATTAAGTTCAGGCTGTCTGCCCTGATTTAAATACATTCTGCCCCTAATTTTTACATACGGACGAAGTGATCCTCTGTAGTGTTATTTGACCACCACAAAAAGGGGCAGGCCTAAGAAATAATGATGGAGAAAGTGGAGAGACACAGTGCTGAAATGCTTCCAGCAGACTGATCAGGCTGCCATGGTGATGTCACCTCCTGTTATAAAGACTCAAGATCCTCGAACGAGCTATGATGATGCAGAAATAAAGGCCTGCATATATACAAGGATGATGGGTGTATGATTTCTAGCTGGCAGTGTGATATATAGTGACCATTAGTGCAGCCAGTGCACTTTCTTTGCCTCCTACAGAGTGAGGCATGCCAAGGCGAGGGTTTATTTGTATAGCACACTTGAATAAGACATTTGAGGGCCTTGCATAAGTCTTTAATGATATCAAAGAAACACGTATAAGTTGGATTTGGTGTAATAAAGTAAAATGATTGAGGTTTTAGTTTCATTTGCTTTCTGTCTAACATTCACACACATTCCAGTGGATGCCCAAAACATTATGCCTATCTGCTTCTCGTTGTTTATGAGCTCTGTGTTTTTGAGATTATGTTACATAAAGAGATTTTGTTGTTTTCCATTAACTAAATAATCTAGAGCATTTAAGCAAAGGTGGATCATGACTTTCTTTGTAAAGCTCCTTAGTAATTTTTTTAATTAAAGATATCAACAAACTAGTCGGTGCTGTGTCTCAGGAGGTCGAGTGGACTTTTATATCAATATTTTAAAGTGATCTTTATAAAAACACTGATGGAGTGGGAGAGCTCTGTATAAAGCACTTACACATTTAATTTGTATTAAAAATTCGGGATTGGGCGGATTGTTTGTTTCCCCCATTTGTGAAAAAAGGTTAAAAAATAATATGAGAAAAAATAATTAATATAAGTCTTTCATCTCTCCATCACGCTATCTTTGAACTTTGTTCCGGCACATAGTTCATCCAGCACAACGGATAAACATGGCAGCCGACATCAGGAAAGGTCATCTCATTGCTGATAACAGTCCACATTTAGGTGTCCCATTTATTAGTGAATAAACAGCCACTCTATGTAAATATAGAATTATACAGAAAGACTAAAAAGCATTAGAAAAATAATGAGTTGATATACAGTACTAACCTGTATTTTGATAACACGTACATGTAACACTCATTAACATAAGGGAGAACATTTTGAATATGTCAGCTTGGGTGTTTTAGCTACTTTTCACAGGTTAGCATAATGACTGCTCATTATATATGCCTGATACTACTCTAAACAGTTAATTAGGAAACACAGTATTGCATAACAAATACAATTTAAATTGTCTGGATGGGTGGGTTTGAATTGCCATTGCACCAAAGTCAGATTAATGGCCTGTGTTATGCTTTCCATGTTCATTCTTTCTATGTCTGCAAGTATGAGGGGGTCTACTTGGTTCCAAGTGATGTAAATATTATCACTGCAGGGTTGTTGAAATATTGCTACGGTGCTATGATGTTTTTCTTTTAATTTGTCAGGCCTGGCAGACAGGATATTGTTGGCATCTAAGACTTGAGTCATCTGCCATAAAAGTCAAATATGTTGTTTACAGTTAGGTTCAATTATTAATCGCAAAGCCACTGAGCTGTTCGTTGGATTTTACGAAATGCTTTGTTTTCTTAGTCTGAAGGGAGTGACCAGCTTTTCCAAGATAAAGTTAATATTTATTTTTCACGGCATGATCTTTCCAGACACCTTTGGTCATGGGTCTGTAGCTCAGTGCAGTGTGCGCTGTGGGATTTGGCTACAATAAGCAACACATTAACAAGAAGATGTGAGAGGAAATTCATTAGGGTTACCTCAACGCAGCTCTCTCAGGGTGTGGAGAGTGAATTCAAATACTTCCCAAATATTAATTGTCTTTTCGTCACATAATAGTCTTTGTCTTTGCATCCTTACTACAGAATCAAACACTGGAATTAAATGTGAAGTGTTACTTGTGTCTTCCATCTCCTCCTCCTCTCAGGTGCTGCCCGTGGTCGAGATGCTGTGGCATGGGTGACTTCCGTCCCCGCACCGTGTGGCTCGGCCACCCAGAAAAAAGGGAGCAGAGGTACCCCAGGAATGTCATTAACAACCAGAAGTACAACTTCTTCACCTTCCTGCCTGGGGTTAGTGCCAGTCAAAGGTCACCGCTTCACCTGCCCTTTATTTAACCCCCCGAAGCCGTCATCCAGCTCTTTCCTCCTGGTCATGATTCACTGTCTGTTTGATCGGCACATTTTCAGAGCATCATAGGATATGTCTGTCTTAATTGATATTTTTTAAATCCTCCCTGTTGGTTGCTTGTAATGTAAGTATGCAAGGCATTGATGCTCATTTCAAATTATCCTGCTTCAGAGTATCAGGTTTGGTTTAGTTTGGCCTGCAGCTAGTAGTTATTTTTAGCATTGGTTGAAAAATGACAGTATTAATAAAAACACTAAATAGAGTAGGGTGTAATCTGGGTTCATCCACCATAACCAACTGTGAGTATTTAATGTCATGTTTTGTTAATCAACCAAAAGTCACTTTTACAGGAGTAAGCAATAAAGAGAAGCAGAACACAGTGAAGTGTTTGTTTTGTAAAAACAGCTGACTATAAAGAAAGTGACCGAGTGATGCATCTCCAGATAAGATCAGGTCCTTATGAATGACAAGTGCTTTTTTGGTTCTTTAGTTTCCTATAAGACTACTGTAGTCTGTCTTTATGCTTACACTAAACCTAACCCAAAACATTAGATGATACATGTGAGGATATGAGAGATGCACTGTTTGTGTGGTCTTAGCCCTGATATGCAGGACGGGCTTGTTTTGTGAATTCAATATTAATTACTTTATTCCGATTGCATCTAAGTAGTATAAAGAGATAATTTGCCATTTTTAAACAGTACAATGTTGCATATTCGAATGAATGAGAGATGCGTCATAGTTTCAGCTATCAGCTGACCAGCGCCTGCGCAGCACCAGGTCTTATACAAGCACTTTCTTGATATTGCGTGACAGATGTGACTTTGGTTGGATATTGCATGGAAGGCAGTTACCGAGCTATGTGCCTTTGATTTTTGTATTTTCCCTAACTTATTTACATATGTATTTGTTTTCCAGGCATTCAGTTGTCTTAAGATCTTATTTTTGCTTATGGAGTCAGACGTTGAAAGTAGCTCAGATTTGTTTGTAAAGCAAAAGACAAGAGCAAAGCCTTTTTGCATTGCAAATCAAGATGCTTTTTATTTACTTTGGTTCATGTGAAGAACTTCTTTTCTCTAGATCATATTTAAAACATATTTATTGCTCATGTGCTTTCCTCTTGGAGGAAAAGTTTTTCTGGTAGTAATCTCACACGCTGATGGTAATGAAACTGAGCAAAGCTGTAGTGTGTGTGTTGAATTTTAGACTGACGCTGGCAGATGAAAAGTAGCCATATGTGTTTGCACATTGCTCCATATCTGTTGGTTCATGAAAAGATTTGTACGCCTAACTGAAAAGTGTACTTCTTTAGTAAGGGTGCGTGAGATGCTTATATGAGCTGTGAAATTATACACCTATAGATGCTGCCAGATTTGCTGCAATGCTACGTCTGTGGTTGGTTTTTTAGAATATTGTGTGTAAATGTGGACAATGTTGCAGTTAATTGTGGTGTTTTTAGTTCTAGATTAACATCTTTTAACTTTGATTTGTAATTCATTCAAAAGGATACGATTGCAGTGTCAGATCATTTTCATTCTTTATCAATTTAGCGCGTTAACATATTGCCAGTTAAACTGCTATTTTTGCCACTTTCAACTCTGTGTCGTTGCATTTCCTAAAAGGCAAGCCTTTAGCTGTTTCTACTGCATCTCCAGCTGTTCTAGACATTCTCGGACAGAGGTAATATTTGTGTAATTACACAAACGGTCAGACATTCAACGCTTTTTAACCTGCCAGCTATGTGGAAAAGATTCAGGTGATGTCTGACTGTCCCAATTTATGGCAAAGGAAGACTACTGAAGATAATAGGCTAGCAAACTCACAGCTAGTGGTCTTCCTATGCTCTGGTATACTCAGATTACATCGTCATCTCAACCAAGAGAGCATTTCCGTTAGAGAGAACAATGTTTTGCTGGGTGCTGCATGTCAGTAATAGTGAAAGATGAATCCAGCGTCCGTGACGTCACCTAATTGGTGGCGAGTCCACATTTTGAGGCCTTATTTTTAGTGTTTTGGATGCGCCCATTGTTGTTTCCTAAGGCTAAAAATCATCATATTTGCATGAGAGGGCGGAGTGCTAAGTGCTGCATTTGTAAACTGGATGAGTAAAAAGTACTGATGCAGATACCTGATGATTTATAAAAGTAGAAGACCGATAAAATACAAAGATATCTCTCAACAAAGCTGAATCACAAACTTATTGGATAAGCTGTATGACAAAGCAGCTCATAGTGTTTGCCAGAAAACCCTGTTAAAAGTAGAAGAGAGGTTCTGCTCAGTGAATTAACTGAGATAAGGCCAAGGAGACAGCAATCAGCTATAGCTGCTCGTGTGGGCACACTTGACAATCAAAGACTCCACAGCTGGGATTTTAAGACTTAGCAGCATCCAATATGGATGTGTTATTAAAAGATTCATGCAGCACACATTTGTTATGGAGGAAAAGCTACTGGTTGAGACCATAACCAGTTTTTGTTCAAGCTTGTAAACGTACTTTGTAATGTAATTTTTAAGATGGGAAATGACTCGCTTTTGTAGCCAGCCTCAAGTGGTCATTAGAGGAACTGCAGTGAAAACAGATTTGTTTTAAATAACATATTATACTTGTTACACAAAACTAAACATAACGGAAAGAAACTACAAAAAAAAATCCTTCAGGCATACTCAAAGGCATTTTCATTGATGATCAGATGACAAATAAATTCTCTATTAAGTCACATACTGTCAAGCAGGAAAGTAGACTTTTGAGGGGGAAGGTTGTGACACTGGTGATGGTGTATGGTTCAGGCAGTGAGTGAGCATTTTCCTGTTTTGTTTTGTTTTCTGGGAAATGGCAGCACATGTTATTTTTGGGTAAATTAAACCCTATTTAATATGAAAGCTGCTTTTATCTACTCCCTTATTCACAAGAGGTCCTCATATCTGAGCAGCATTTTAGCAGATTTTTACACTAGATGCCCTTCCTAACGCAGCCCCCGGGGGATTTGTGCCTCCTCTCGGGATCCAACTAGGGATTTTTTGCTTGCTAGGCAAATGTGTACTACACCATGAAGCTCCAAAACCCTACTTAAAATAATACTTGGAATTCTGTTTGTCACAGTCCTGGTTATTATTCTTTGTGGGAAAGCCAGAAACTGAAAATCGTGTATATTCAACAACAGCCTCCATATGCACATTGCTTTGCGAAACTGTGAATATTTCACTCTTGATCCTTTGCCTTTTTGTTCTCAGGTGCTGTTCAATCAGTTCAAGTACTTCTTCAACTTGTACTTTTTGCTTTTGGCCTGCTCTCAATTTGTCGAGGAGTTACGCTTAGGTGCTCTCTACACCTACTGGGTCCCTCTGGTATGTGGCATTTCACTTACTGTTAATCATTAAGGTCAATCAGCTTCATTTTCCATTATTTGTGTTCCTCTTCAATGCTTTTTTAAAATGTACTTTTGCTGAAAATTAAGGTTTAGCTATTTCTTTTCACTTCCACAGTTGCAGCACTCACATAAACTTTATTAGTTACTTTTTCACTGTGACTTGTCACTCTCCAGGGTCTTGTTTTGATCATTACCATCATGCGAGAGGCAATTGAAGAAATTAGGTGCTACCTTCGAGACAAAGAAGTGAACTCTCAGATTTACAGCAAGCTTTCAACAAGAGGTAAGAACTGAAAGCAGGTTTTACCTGCGTCGATTTCTGTGTTGCATTTTTGTTTTCTTAGCAAACATGTCTATTAACTGGAGGAGGTTGGTCCTGTTAAAACTTATTGGGGCTGGGGGAAATGGTGGGTAATTCAAAGCAGAGATGTAAAAGTGTACATAAGAGGCCTTGGTATAAAGTGCTACCAGCAATAAAAAGCATGGGACCTCTTGTGGTTTCCATCACTTTGCCTCTTTGATGTGGCAGCTTGTTTTACCCATAAACACAATGACTGGTTGCCTCCATGGTGGCAGCCCCTCTGCATATTTTGTGGTTTATAGAAACTTTATGGTGTCAGAACTCGGTGTACTGGTTGCAGTTATTTTGTCCAAGTTCCTTTAAATTGTATGTTTATGAATACACGTGCATGAGATATTGCCATATGATCAGTCAAAACCATCTAGAACCTTTCATCACTTAATGCTTTTCTGCTAAAAACTGTGGTGTGAAGTGTTACCGAATAGGTCTTTTTTGTGTTTGCGTGTAAAATGTAAAATGCATTTGTAGAGTAAAGTTCCATGAACCCGAATGCATAGCGATATTAATGTGCTTTAATGTCTTACATATGCAAAGCTCAGAGGTCACGGCAGAGTTCAAGGGTCAGTGATCTCTTCCAAACAATTTTGCCGTTCATTCCAAGTGGAATGAAAGAAAAGGCTCAACTCCCCCAGCATTCTTTCAAATCTTCATGGAGACTTACTTTCCCAGATTCACTCAGGTGACTAGTGAGCCATGCAATTCGCCCAGAGGTCTGGGTTTTGTGAAGACATATTTGCTGAAAAAATACCACATTCTCTCACTAGCTTATAATTAGGGAAACTTTTAAGACAAAAATCTAAATGTTGGGTGGTCTAGATTCCATTTAAATTCTTAACTACATGACTCACATAAAAGTTTCAAATAGCTTTGTGTATGTGAGACTTTAATCAACATTCAAACTTGCCAAACACTTAACTTTATGTTTTCTTCTGTATTTCAGGCACTGTGAAGGTTAAAAGCAGCAGCATTCAAGTTGGTGATCTAATAATTGTGGAAAAGGTTTGTTGAAGTTTTTTTTTCATCCACATCTGTGAATAGTTTTGCTTTTTAGACCTGTCAAGTTACCGTTTATATGACAGCTAGTAATGAGGGGGTTGTTAATCTTCTGTGCTCCGCTGGTGACTGAGGTGAAAAGAGTTAGTAAAGATTTTGTAATCTTGTGATCAATGCTGAGTGTCGGCCTGTCAGACTCGATGCGCGCGTGGCATATGTGAACATGAAATGCCTTTTAATTAGATCTGAAATACAAATTCAATTAAGCGCTTTAGTTTTATCTCGAGATTTCATTTATAGTTTCTAGTTCGATATCTGTGTGAGTTTTGGATCTGCTGTGTTGCTCCCCTCGCGGACAGACTGGAGTCCCTGAGGTCTTTGTACATGAAATGTGAGAAGCGTGTTCTGTCTTCAGTTTCCAGCGGAGGGCTTCTCTCTGAATCACTCATTAAGTGCAGTTGAGGGAAAGGTCACACATGTTGTCCTACACATTTTGCTAATATGACCGAGTGATTCCGAGTCATCTGGGTTACAATTCACAAAGTCATCGGTGGAGGTGATGGCAAAAGTTTTCAAATAAATCCCACTTTGAAAAGCCATGCGACTTGCTTTGTTAAACTGCTATTAATCACGTGAACTCATCTAAACAGTTAGATTTTGCCAAAGCGGTCATGTGAATTTAATGTGTAATATCTTGAGTGAAATGGCCGGGTCAGGCTGAGTGTAAAAGCTGGCTTGGGTCCTTTTAGGGCCATGACAGAATGATTTGCTGAGGGGCTTAATATTTTTGACTGACTGACTGTTGGTAATGTGGCACATGAAGGGAAAAAAAGTCACAAGAGCATAAGGAGGGAGAAGGAAAGTATAGAATCAGGATGTAAGGTTCACGCCATTTTTTTTCTTTCTGCCTTTCTTTGTAGAACCAGCGTGTTCCTGCTGACATGATCTTTCTAAGGACCTCTGAAAGAAATGGTAAACATCTGCCGGTCATTCATCCATATATCCACAACAGGCCGGCTGGGGAAATGAGTTGTTTAAAAAGGCGCTGAGGTGCAGGGATTAGCCCTGAGCTGCGACAGGAAGTCCTACATTGTATAAATCGGAACCGTGACCACTACTAAGTTATCACTCAAAGTTACTGTGGCGAGTTGCCACGGCCACATAGACAAAACATTGTTTGATTTTCATCTTTGTCTCTGACTAATTTTGTCTTTCAAATGAGAAGATAATGAAAAGGAAAATCAAGGGACACAAAAAAAATCAAATGCAAAGAACAAAAAGAAGACAAGAGGGGAAGATCCCTCATCTGAATAATCAAATATGGATTAGTGTATCATTTGTGGGAGATGACACCAAACATTGACTAAGGCGGTTTAAATTGAAATGCACAGGCTGCTGCTGTTTTATTTATAGCCTAGAAATCCAAATGTGACTAAGAAAGAAACGCTACATGCTTGTTGTTGTTGCGTCTTCCTGTTGGGGGAAGAAAAACATCAACTTTGTTTTACTGGAAATAGTGCTCGGTTATCTCCCATTCCATGTGGAGGCCATTAGGTCAATTATGAAGGGCCTAGGATAGGATTTAGAGTTTTGGGCAGGATGACTCATGCTGGCCAGTGGGGGGGAAGGGGTCTGGTAGACGCTTCCACTTCTATCCCAACAGCAATAAACTGCTCAGTCCTGTTCTCAGTAGTCAGTGTTCATCTGTGACCCCATGTTAAAATAAATTCACACATAACATTAACTTAAAAAATGGATGTTTATTAGAAAAGATGAGAATATGATGAACTCGCAGTCTAGCCTTCAGTATGGTTGATAATCTGCTGTAGGCAGTGAAGTGATCAATAATGGAGCTTATGAGTTTCCTTCTTTGAAATAAAAACCTTTCTGTTGTTGCCCCCTAGAGGTGACTGTTTTCATATGGCGTCAGTAGCAGCTCTTGTCCTCTCTTTTCCAGGCTCCTGTTTCCTGCGGACTGACCAGCTTGATGGAGAGACGGACTGGAAACTACGCCTCCCAGTGGCCTGCACGCAGAGACTACCAACTGCTGGCGTGAGTTGTAAACTGTAGATGGAGGCTGGCAGTAACGATTCGACTGGAAACTGAATGTTTGCCCTGTTGTTGTTGTTTCTCTTTTTCTTTTTTTTTTATAACAACTAATAAATACAAGAGTAATTTAAACTGAGAGAAACAAGTCTTTTATTTAGCCACTACATGCTAAGTTACGTATGCAATCTAAATATTAAATTCATTAATAATTGTTGCATGTACAATGTTCTGCACCATGTAGGACTTGTAAAGCCTTTTCTTTTCTTCTTCAGGTAATTTTAAGTCATGTTGTCTAATCTCTCACAGGACCTTCTCCAAATCAGATCATACGTGTATGCAGAAGAGCCAAACATTGATATCCACAACTTTATCGGAACCTTTACCAGGGTAAGTGGTTGCATTGTTACGCTGAACCCTAATCTCCCTTCAGACATGTTAATCTCATCTCCAACATCTGAGTCTTTGTCACTTTTATGCTCGAGCTGTAACAGAAACCGTGCTCGACTTTGCAGCACACACAAGTCTGAACTGAGTACAGTGATATCAGTGTTGTTAAATACCCCTCAACACAAGCATGCAGAAAGAAAAATGCTCATTGAAGTGTATTTGTGCTCTCAATTGTTGTCTTATAGAACACAATTTATTGGTTTCATCTATAAAAACTGTGAAAGTGACACTTTTAAGTTGTTGAATGTCTTATTTTAGATCAGGAGCTGTGATAAAATAGTGACCTCTCCAGATTGTACCTCGCCTGTCGCCCAGTGATAGCTGGATTAGGCTCCAGTTTCAGCAATCCTGAATTTGGTAAATGGTTGAATAGATATTAGATCAGACTTAAAAATGAGTTTCCTTAAAGCGTTTGAGGACCCCACCGCAACAATCACTCAGCTACATCGATAAAAAGTTGAAATCCTGCAAAACTCTTAACATATAGCACACCCCAACAAGTAAAAGAGTCCAAATTTAACTCCCTAGCGCTTGCTGTGTTATATATTCTAAAACATTGAATGTCTTGATGATTGCTCAATCATCCAGGTAAGTAAATCTCCAAAAGTTGATTCTGTTCATCTGACGTAGCGTTTTGTGGGAGAAATGTTTCGTCACTCATCCAAGTGACTTCTTCAGTTTCAGCTGACTACTAAAGCATTGAATGATAAAACCAATTAATAGGTTATCTGTGGCTCAATTAGGAGAAGCAGGGACAAGCTGGTTTCTGTCCTTAGTAATCATTCTGCATGTCTGTTGTATCAACTGTTACAGGAAGATGGAGACCCACCAGTTAATGAAAGCCTCAGCATTGAAAACACCCTGTGGGCGAGCACTGTTATTGCCTCTGGTAAATATCTGACTGGTGGTGCATCTATAAAGCTGTTAATATCCAAGTAACCAGGACCTGCGTGTTCACTAAAGCACTGATCCTTCATAGCTGTTGATTTGATGGTGTATCTAATCAAATCTACACTCTAGAAAAAAAGCCCAATGAGGTAGCCCTTTCTAAAAACGCAGAGGCACCGCTAACTATAATTGTAAAGAAAGTGTGCTTCATCTGTGGGAGAGTGAATCCACTTTAACCGGCACAAGCATGTGTTGTTCATTAAGCAATTAGAAATCTGCGTCCTCCATTCAAAATGTCATTCTTCATTTGGAAAAATCTATTCATGTCAAGATTATAAGTCTGGAAAACATCTTCCTGACATGCTGTGTTTGATGTTGTAACTTTACTATATTGCCCTGAGGCCGTTTTTTGGTCTTTTTTTTTGTCTCTGCCTCACTTACTCCAGGCACAGTGGTGGGGGTCGTGATTTACACAGGCAAGGAGCTGCGCAGTGTCATGAACACCTCCAACCCTAGGCACAAGGTACAGTAGTGTAAGCCAGAGCTAGAAGACAGAAGTCTGATCATTTAATTGCATGAAGGTGTTTTTCCTAGTATGTGTTTTTTTTATACAGTATATGTGTGATTGGATTTAACTTAATTATTCAGATAAATTCATTTGTTGCTTCACTTATTTACATTTTGTCAGTACACAGATCTTTTATATTTACAGTAAGTAGATGCTTTATGTTTGCTTCTCTTATAGGTTGGTTTGTTTGACCTAGAGGTGAACTGTTTGACTAAAATCCTGTTTGGAGCCCTGGTTGTGGTGTCACTGGTCATGGTGGCCCTCCAGCACTTCGCCGGCCGTTGGTACCTGCAAATCTTTCGCTTCCTGCTGCTCTTCTCCCACATTGTGCCCATTAGGTCCGACTTAACGCTCTTTCTTAATGGCATCTGCAGTGCTATGTTATATTTACATGTGAGGAATGAAAAATTGCGTGCTTCCTTGTTTTATCTGATGCAGTTTGCGTGTAAATCTGGATATGGGAAAGATGGTTTTCAGTTGGATGATTAAGAAAGACTCAAAGATCCCTGGGACAGTGGTGAGGGCAAGCACCATACCTGAACAGCTCGGACGGATCTCCTACCTGCTGACTGACAAAACGGGTAACCTAGCATACCGTTTTTTGTTGACCTAGTTGAGCAGTAACACGAGAGGATAAAGTGGTGAGGATTTTCCTAGGAGGTATTCTGTAAGACAAAGTTTAGCTGTTTCCTACCCTGCAGCGTTGCTATGCGGTGGGTTTCTTGCTCCCTGAGACTTACAGGACCTTTAAATCATAAAAAAAAATCAAAGTCTCTCATCTATACACACCTTTAGAGCATAACACCTCCACCAGTGAACCTCCAGAGGCAGGAGGTGTTACTCGTCAGATTTACAGCCCTCATGCCTAATAAAATGATCGGCCATTTCCACATCCAGAGAGCGATAAGGCCAGTGGGGTCTTCAGGTCACACTAATGTATGTGTAAGTCCCCTGAAGTCTTTTTGATATACTGGCAGAAATGCTTTTAAAGTAAGTGTGAGGATACGGAGGTTGTGTGTAGTGTCAAATGCTTCTGGCATTTTTCTGGTCACCATATGTGGCTGTTACAGGTGACTGATTGTTGTTTGTTAGTTAGATAATTGAATCTCTACAATAGGGTCATAATTTGTGCTGTCAAGCGTGATAACTTTTACTGTTTAAATGTCTGTAATGTAACTTTCAACAGGAACTCTTACCCAAAATGAAATGGTGTTCAGACGGCTCCATCTTGGAACTGTGGCATATGGGATGGACTCAATGGATGAAGTACAGAGCCATGTGTTCAGTGCCTACACGCAGGTGAAAGGTGTTATGTGTATCTTAAGAAGAAAAAGTGACTAAATTGAGCAAACTGTGTCCCAGTATTCAGAAGAAGAGATTCAAATTTAAAAAGCTCTTGAAAGGATTAAAAAAGCAATTTTTTTTTTTTACAAAATGTATTAGTTTGTGATTATTGTTCAGCTGAATGCTTCCTGACCTCAAATGACATTCTTTATCCCTCTTGACACCAGAGGTTAGTAGAGCAGGAAACAGGATTAGCCCACAAGCGAAGCACTGACCGGACTCCTTTAATGACACCATCATTAACCCTGAGAACATGCAGCCTTCTAAAAATAGCAAATTCACAATGCAGAAGCAAATAGTTCATATTTACTCTACACATCTGGTTATGTTTACAGGCTGCTAACATAGCGATAATGGAAACTGTTGAAATGAAGAAGCTAGTTCCTCAGTCTGTGAAACATTTCAAGTGTTAATGCAGCTTCCTCACAAACCCTCAGTCACTAGTGGCCCATGTTTTTTTTATCTTTTTTTTTAAAGTTGACAGTACTGATAATTAGCTCTGTTGGCTAGAATACTTCCCCTCTCTTGACAGCTGGCAACAGTGAAAGACTCACATAAAAGAAGTCTGTTAAAACGTTTATATTCTTTGTTCTTCTTGCACTAACAGTACCTTCTCTAATTCTCTTCAGCCCACCCATGACCTTCCAGCCTCCAGGGCTCCAGCAGCCACTAAGGTTCGAAAAACCATCAGCAGTAGAGTTCACGAGGCTGTGAAGGCCATCGCCCTGGTGCACAACGTAACACCCGTGTACGAGTCCAACGGCGTGACGGACCAGGCCGAGGCCGAGCAGCACTACGAAGACACTTGCAGAGTCTACCAGGCATCCAGCCCAGATGAGGTATCCAGTCCAAGAAAATGCTGTTTTTATATAAACCTATAAGGCATATAATGATATGCACATTATTATTGTGTAAAACAGGGGTGTCCAACTCCAGGCCTCGAGGGCCGGTGTACTGCAGGTTTTCGATGTCACCCTGGGTCAACACACCTGAATCAAACGATTAGTTCATTACTAAGCCTCTGGAGAACTTCAAGACATGTTGAGGAGGTCATTTAGCCATTTGAATCAGCTGTGTTGGATCAAGGACACATGTAAAATCTGCAGGACACCGGCCTGGAGTTGCCCACCCCTGGTGTAAAACTAGTAACTAATATAAGTATATTGTGGTTGTTGTTACCTCACTTTGATCCGTACACAAATGATGACTCTAAAAGACTGTTTTCATATCAACGTGCTGAAGTTGAAAGTGTGATTAGACCTTCATTATTCATTCATCAGATGATATATCGTTAGCTTCATAGCATAAGTGCCTAAGTCATTTTTTGGTCAAATTGAGATTTTTGCCTAACTTTACTCCCCTACCACTGCTGCATCATCCTGTCCGTCTGCCTATGTCATCACAAAAAAATGACTTAGGCACTTATGCTATGAAGCTAACGATATGTTAATATATAAAGCTGAACTCTTATTTTTTGATGTTTCAGTTTGAAATGTTTAAAATGTAGTTACTCTACCCAAACCTAAGACCAAGAGCAAAACAAGGAAGCAGATTTCTGCATATAAGATGCGTAGGTTTGTGTTTTTGGTCAAGGCCATTACAAGAGTGTGTGTATTTCTTGAATAGAGAGAGTCTCACAGAAATGCAGTCCACACTGATGTCCTTGATCAGTATGAATTCTTTTGAACGTCAGGAAAAAGGCTGCGGACTTCGACTCGATCCATTTCCTGCCATGTAAATACGGATTTCCTTAATGTGCTCCTCAGCCCATTGCACTTAGCCCCCTCTGAGTTTCCTTCTTTTTTTTTTTTGTGCGATAGCACATTTTAATAGCACCCAATACACTATGTGGTGGTCACCAGAAAAGAAAAAAGAAAAAAGTCTAGCATCGGTGGTTTGCGTTGTTGGTAGGAAATGGAGCCGTTTTATTGTTTTAGGTCACAATGGATAAAACAGTTGGCTTTGAGTTGCTGAGACCTGAAAGTTGCATTCAGTCAGTTTGATACAATCGAGGCAGATTCAGTTTGCTTTGCAACAGCTTTCAGGAAGTCTTATTTATAGATCTGGTTTTGCGTGTGAGCACATTAGATGCAATGTCAGTGACTGTTAAATGTATGGTTTCTACTACTGTAATGTAAACTGACAGTTTGCCACCATCCGCATGCAGATGAAAGTAGTTTTTTTCTTTTTCTTTTTTCTTTTTTTTTTGTTCAACATTTATTAAAATTTTAATAAATGTTCGTTTGTATGGTTTGGTTCAACGAGGAGTGAAATCTGAATCACTTTGCTTTCCGGCTCATAAAGAACATGTCAGCCATGTGGTGTTTGTGAGTCAAGCCATCTGGGTCAAGCATTATTCAGTCCAGTTACAAATGGGCCGCTAACTCAGATGCTTCTATTCTAAGGTAGTGCTCTTGTGGCAGACACCCGATCCCAAAAATTCCTCCACAGTGAATATTTCTAGACTCTGACTAAGCATAATCTTCATACTTCCCAACCTGTATGACAAACACTTCAGTAGTCAGAGCTTTGATGACGCTAAAGTGTTTCTGGTCAGACATTTTTAGGCTATGTGGTGCATATTTCCAAAATAAGTAATTTTGGTATCCCAGAATCAGTGATTTTAAAGTTGTTGTAGGAGCAGAGCAGTCTCCCTTGTTGTCTCTTATCTGCATCTGTTTGGCTTCTCTGCTGTTCGTCCTGGCAGAAGATGGATGATGAATTGGGAATGTGATCTGGTTTCTAGTCTGGAAGTTATTGGGCAATGCCATCTCCCCTCATTCTCTCTCCCCACACACACACACACACACACACCACCCCCGCACACATGCTTCTATTGTATTAATGGATGTCGTCTGTTGTGTCCTTCAGAAAGGAACAAGCAGAAACTATATTTTCAGTTAAGAAATGGACATCTTCCCAGTTTTTCAATCAATAGTCTTAAGTGCTGAAAATGCTTGAGCTATTGATGTTCTCTGACAGTCTACTTCAAAGTGGCCTTCGCTGTTTTCTGTGTAATTCAAGTAATGGAACATCATATTGACAATGCTTTTGCCATGAAAATAATAAAATGACCCATGCAGAGGTCACTTTCTCTTAATGGGTTCTTGAATGATGATAATATTTTATTTAGTAGAAATATGTGTTATTAGCTAAAAGCTACATATTTTGCCTTCTTATTGTGCTCTATATATATTTAGTGTCAGTTGTGCATTTTAATGACCGCTCACTAAAGCCTTTACACTGTGCTTTTGATAGGTGTCGCTGGTGCAGTGGACTGAGAGCGTCGGCCTTACACTTGTAGGAAGAGACCAGTCATCCATGCAGCTGCGGACCCCTACTGGCCAAATACTGAACTTCACAATCCTTCAGATATTTCCCTTCACTTATGAGAGCAAAAGGATGGGGATTATAGTCAGAGTGAGTGCCAAAATTAATATTATTACTAGTTGTTAGTGTTAGTAGTGGCTGCTGTCCATCTTGCTCAATATATTTTGATACAAAGGAAATGTACTGATTTCCTCACATCTCTATTGCTTAGAAATTACTTTCAATTACAGTCAATGTAGGTCAGTGGTTGTTGCTATGATGTTGATTCTTGCTTGGTGCTGACTTTAACAAGGAAAACAAACGAAAAACAGATTTGTGCTAAAGTGTATAATCTGAGAAAAACCTCACCTTGTGACCTCTGACTAAGTCGGATGACTAACTTTATTATTGCTGGCTGGGATATTGCTCAGGAAGCCAGGGATTTTTAAAGTTGACTTCCTCCTGATAATATTTTCAAACACTTTTAAACTCTCTTGTGGATACCAAAATAAGTTATGAATTTCTAGGCAACACTAAATAATAGAATGGCGCACGTGCACTTTGGCTTGTGCACGCTGAGTAGAAATCCCCCTGCAAGAAGCACGGCTGGGTAATCATTGTACCAAATATTAAATAAAATTTTATGTACCGTTTGCACATGATAAAGCACAAATCAATGTTTTTCTAGGATGAATCAACAGGAGAGATCACTTTCTACATGAAAGGTGCCGATGTGGTGATGTCAGGCATCGTCCAGTATAACGACTGGCTGGAGGAGGAGGTATGTTTCTATGTTTCCCACGAGTCATGCCACATACCTGATGACACTGATTTTATTCCTGTTAATAGTAAATCACATACTTTTAGATCACATGCAGATGTTGTCTGTGTTTTCTAGTGTGGGAACATGGCGAGGGAAGGTCTGAGAGTCCTCGTGGTTTCCAAAAAGTCGCTGACAGAGGAGCAGTATCAGGATTTTGAGGTAACAGCCCTCCATGAAATTGACCTACAGCAATCTAAGACAGAGCTCAGAGTTGGGTTTCAGATTCAAGTGTGAGAAGATGGGGCTGTTGAAGTGTGCTTAGGTTTACGAGCGTTGTTATACATGCATTGTTTGGTCCCTGTCTAGTAAAGCCATTACAGTTTCAACAGTGTGATAGTAAAACATGCTCAAGTTACATTAAGCATCTGTCGACTGACAAGCATTACACATGATATTGATATTTGGAGGAGACATGTTCAGCATTTCTAAATGTCAAAGTGTGTCCTTGGGTAATTAGACTAACCTCTGACCCCCCCTTCAGTATTTCTACCCCACTGTTCCTCACATACACCAGGCCCCCCTCATTGTTTGAGCAGGGCATGGCTGTCTTCCCTGCAGTTGTTAGCCCCAGGCCTATTACTGAAGTGTATAATTGAGTGAGCAGAGCTGGTGGGCAGCAGTGAGTCACCAACTGAGTCACACACAGAGTTTATGTTCCTGTATGAGTCACACTCAGATTGTTTTTGCTTTATCTCACTCACAAATTGCCCTCGAGCTGAAATGCTAAAGATGGGCGTTAACTGATTGATTATGTCTGTCCTGTATGCTGTAAGTACAGTGTGCTGTATGTATAGCTATTTTGTTTAACAAAGCTATATTTATAGCTTTCAGGGCTGCTTGACAGTTTACATTTATACACAGATTTTTTATTTTGCTATTTTTGTATTTAAAGTATCAGTGCATTTAGGATGGTATATAGTAGGTAGACTGCAAATTTGGCCTTATGTATGCACAATGCATGACATATTCCTAGCTCATTTTATTCCTTATTTGTTTTTCTTGACTCTCCTGGCTGACAGCCACATTCCTGTTTTCTTCTTTTATTCCTGGCTGTTTCACTTCTTGCAGTAATTTCACAGTATTTAAACTTTCTTATCCTCCCACTACGACTCTCCAGGCACGGTACGTGCAGGCCAAGCTCAGCGTCCATGACCGCTCTCTGAAGGTGGCCACAGTGATTGAGAGTCTTGAGATGGAGATGGAGTTGTTGTGTCTGACTGGGGTGGAGGATCAGCTCCAGACTGATGTCAGGCCCACTCTGGAGATCCTCCGCAATGCAGGCATCAAGGTCTGTGGGGTGGGGTGGAGTGGGTAAATGGCCTTACAGTGCACAGTAGCAACAAACTAAGAAGACAAGCACATATGTTTTTCATATTGGCTGTATGTATCTCAATACAGCCTTCATTTTTTTCCATCCCTTAAACTTTAAAACTGACACTTTAGTTATTTGCTGATGATTTTAGATGTTCAATTCAGGCGACGTCCACACTAGCCCAGATAGATTTGAAAATGGCGTTTTCGTGAAAACGTTCCGTGTCCACACTATCATTTTCGGCCAAAAACGCTTACGTTCCAGTACTGCGCTTGCGTGAAACGCACGACGATTCGACCTACCTCATTTCTGTCAGCCGTTTATTTACTTTCTGGCTCTTTGAAACGTCTTTTGAAACGCAAAATATTGAGGAAAAGCACCGAGTTTTTTAAATGGACTAACAATGAGGTGGAGTTGTTGCTGCGAGTAACACAGAAACAGCGTTTTCAAATGTATCCGCTTTGGACAGCGTTTTCAAAACGCTGTCTCAGTGTGGACGGAAGGCCAAAACGGAGAGGAAAGATTCGTTTTCAAACGAAAATGTATTAGTGTGGACACGGCGTCAGTCTTTGAAAAGGATGCTCTTTCCCAGTATGCTCTTCATAGGTGCTAAAGCACAAGCGTAGCTCATATGTTTCACACCAAAAGGTAAACAAGAGGCACTTAAACTAAACTTCAGAAAAAGTAACAAATCTCAGTTTCTCCGGTTTATTGTGACCATGGCAACAAATATGATAACGATTCAACTTACAGTCTTAAGTCTTTACTCTAAGCCCGTTTTCATCCTCTGCTTTAGTACACCAGACAGAAATAGAGTCAAATTTCTTTGGGTCATGGCATTTAAAAATTTTTAAAAATCAGCGGCTATGTAGTTTTCCAAAACTCTTGACAAACTACTGAACATGGAGTCAGTTTCTTCTTTAAAAAGTCATCCAATAAAAAAATAAATGTGTGTGTTTTATAAATAAACCACACGAACAGAACATTGCTTTTTAAAAGTTACCACTCATGTAATTTGTTAAAATGAAATTCAGCTGTGTTTGGGTGGAGTCAGAAATGTCAAGATCTGAGGATAAAATCCCCCCAAACCTTTTTTGTGATATTGATGAATCAGCCATGTCAATTCTCTTATATGCAAGATCCAAAATACTAATGAGAAAGAATTTGGATGCTGTGATACCAGTCTGTGTGATGACTTGTGTTATTTTTGTTTGAAGCACAAGATCTAAACTAACACTGTTTTTAATGGTAAAATTGCTCCACAGGCTTTGTCTTAAAAGCCTGTGGAGCAATCTTTACAGGCTTTCATTATCAAGATGATTCTCAAAGTCTTATATCTGGGTTTAAAGACACTGGAGTGGGATTTCTGTCTCTGTTTCCTGTGAAGGTTTGGATGCTGACCGGAGACAAGCTTGAAACGGCCACGTGCACTGCTAAGAACGCCCATCTGATCACCCGCAACCAGGACATTCATATCTTCAGACCAGTAAGTCCAGGAAACAGACCCATCTTTCTCTTGTGCACATATCTAGTGGGTAATAGTTGATTTTACTCCAGGGCTGATGTCAGTTCAAAGCTGCCCTGACAGTTTCTTGAATCTGTCAACCCACGGGCATCCAGGCTCTGTGACCAAGGCCCATTAGCTAGTGGTCATACAGCCCAACACAACTACGCATGCAGGCCGAGCCAGCATCCACAGCTGAATAAATCACCTCCCACCAGTGAAAGCATCCAAGCCACTGTCAAAGAGAACAAACAGCCCTTCGCTCAAACAGAGGAGAAACCAGCTGAACCACTCCCAGAGGGAACATGCAGAGGGCTCACTTCCTAATTTGTTTTGCAGGTTTCAGGCACTGTAGCTGCTTTGATAGTCCCCTTCTGCCTTAACCTCTGGATCCATGCCAGAGCAGAAGGAGCGTCTGCCATATAGGAAGGTTAGAACTTGCGTACAACTGTGGTTACTGGAAGAGAATAACAATGGTTGGCAGTGCTTAAAAACCTCTGTCACCGGGGGACGGGGGTGTGCTGACTGGGCCTGCTACACACACATCTGGATTAGTTTCCTGGTGGCCACCAATGGCCTGAACTGGACTGACGTATGAATTGTCAGTGGTTGAAGGATATTCATTCCAGAGCATAGCTTTTGTTGACAGATTAACACCATGCCTTGTCAGTGCTGAATTTTTGGAGAATTTGAGTCTATATTTGAACCTGACACAACTGTTAAGAAATTCTGTTTATTTTTTCAATTTTTTTATGCAGGATATTATCCCGTTTCCCCTTTCCATTTTTCTTTTAACACACCCTTTTCATATTTGCATTGTAATACATCAACAATACACTACAGGCTAGTTGTGTGCAAATGTAAGGACAAACCCTGAATAATTTGCATATGCATAATTTTCATTTTAACCTCCTCTGTGGTAAGTATAAAAACATTTTTACAATAGGGTGAAATTACCTTATGCCTTTTTTGTGTCAACACATGCCTCTTTAAGACACAGTGCTCAGCTAAAAGGTCAATAATTTTACTTTTAAATTTAATCTGAATGATCTTATGTTCTTTCAGTTCAGTCATTTACAGTCTAACTTTTGTGATATTAAAATCTTCTAATATTTCTAATATTTTCTAATATTACAATTTTAAGTTTTTTTTGTACCAGCCTTGCCTGCATCTGTGGACTCAGTTACTTCTTTTTCAGGTCGTGTGTCACTCCCATTCTCATAAATGCAATAGCTTTTGATACCTTTGGTGGAATTTAATGAAATATACTCACTTGGACTCAGAGAAGAACTACTTATATTTTCATGGGAAAAGGTCAAAGTCGCTTTGACGTAATGTTCTTAGTAATTACATGTGGCAAAAACATGTAACTGTACTTGAGGTACAAGATCAAAATTGGCCTAAACTCAAGAATTCACAATCTATTTATGGTAAATTTTTATGCACTTGTCTAACAGTTGCATTTTCAGTCTGTGCGGTGTCTTTTAGTTGATTATTTGGCTGAACCTCCTATGTCTTTGTGCTCTTCTCATCTGCTTTGTGCTGCACATTTTGTATCCAAATGCTCACTTTCACTGTGACATCATCTTGTTCTGCAAGAAAAAGAAATCGTGCAGTTATTCACCAGTATAGCAATATTTCACATGTGGTCAGATGCTCAATTTGTGTCACCAGTATTTGATTCTGACCTCTCAATTAATAATCGTAACTAAAGATATTTTGTAAGGATGGACAGGCGTGGATATAAAGTGGAACTTGACGGTTGGAAACAGTAAGGCTTTAAACTGAGTGAAGTTTCAGGCTCATCCTGCTCTTTACTTCTATTCCCTACATCAACCTGATATCCGCCTGTAGGCTCCACAGAAACATTTAATTGTCACTCCAATTTTATTTCAAACACAAGTAGAGATAGGAACCTATATGCCGAATTATACTTGCTATTCAGTAGCTACATGGTGCTGTTTAATAAATTAAACATTTGCATTTATATAGCGCTTTTCAAGGCACTTTACAATTCCACTAAGAAGAAGAAGAAAGTGTACTTTATTGGTCCCCGTGGGGAAAATCCCTCTCTGCATTTAACCCATTCACTCAGTGAAGCAGTGGGCAGCCATTGGGCGCCCGGGGAGCAGTGTGTAGGGACGGTACCTTGCTCAGGGGTACCTCAGGGTAGCTGTTCAGGGGAATCGAACCCCCGACCTACAATTCCACTATTCATTCACTCTCACATTCATACACTCAAGCTACAGTCGTAGCCACAGCTGCCCTGGGGCAGACTGACAGAAGCGAGGCTGCCATATCGCGCCATCGGCCCCTCTGGCCATCACCAGTAGGCGGTAGGTGAAGTGTCTTGCCCAGGGACACAACAACCAGGACAGAGAGCCCAGGGATCGAACTGGTTACAGATGCGCTTCCCAACCCGCTGAGCCACGGTCGCCCCCTCAGTCACACAACTCACACTCGTGAGTTGTGTGACTGAATTCTAGTGTATTTAGCTGGTTGAATGTCAGCTAGGTGTTTGGTTGCTCTAACATTTGTCATTGCTGCAGTTGGAGAGAGACAAGCTTCCCTTCTTCTGTCTGATAACAGAGAGACAAACATGCAAAGCCTGGCAGATTTTCCCCTGTGATAATTCTACATTAGAGTGTTTTGTTGGGGCATACAAGTGCATTTAACAATGTGGTTGCTATTGGTATAGGTGACAACACGAGGGGAAGCCCACCTGGAGCTCAACGCTTTCAGGAGAAAGCATGACTGCGCTCTGGTGATATCGGGGGACTCGCTTGAGGTAAGTGTGCCACTCAGACTGTCTAACCCACATCCCATTAACTTATATCTCCTTATGAAACTTTGACATATATTCTGCATGAAGCGTGCACAATATATCACTCTGGAAGTGGTGTCTGTGGTTAGAGTCACTATCTCAACCACAATAGGAGCTAAACTGTAAGTTGAGTGGAGGTATTCGAGCGCCACAGCTGAAAGCAGTTAAATGTGGGTGCCTGAGTGTTTTATCTGTCCATTATGCTGGTTTTCTTGCAGGTTTGTCTGAAGTATTATGAATATGAGTTCATGGAGCTTGCGTGCCAGTGTCCCGCTGTGGTTTGCTGCCGATGCACCCCCACTCAGAAGGCTCAGATAGTCCGACTGTTGCAAGAGCGCACAGGCAAACTCACCTGTGCAGTAGGTGAGTGGAAAATTTAAACTGGGCCAGCATGTTTTTCATTTGTTTAAAGTTCTTCCTTGCACTGTTTTTTTGCTGTTGTTGTTTGTTTGTTTGTTTGTTTTAGTTTTAATATGTGTTTCCAACTTTATAATGTTGTTATGCTATTATAATAATGAATAATAATGAAAAAAGCTATATCTCTCTCTATATATAAATCTACATCTCTCTCTCTCTATATATATATCTATATATATATAGATATATATATAGATATATATACATACACATACACATTAGGGGTGCAACAATACTCGTATAGATATTGAACCGTTCGATACAGTGCTTTCGGTTCGGTATGCATATGTATCAAACAATACAATTTTTAAAAATGTATTTTATCAACTTTTCTTCTGACGATGCTGTCTGTGTTGAGAGCTCAGTGGATCTGCGTTCGACTACTCCACCTAGGCTGCACTGTCGAGTGCAGATCCACTGAGCGCAGCGCAAGGTAGCAAGACAGAAGCTAAGCTCGTTGCAACATGGCAACTGCCTCAACGCTACCCGAAATTGAACCTCCCCCACTCTCATTCAGATCTGGCGTTTGAAACTATCTTGGTTTTCATGTGAAGCATGACCCTGATGGTAAGCACGTCATGGACAAAAGTAAAACAGTATGTCGGATGTGCCACGCAATGCTCAATTGGTGGGAACTAGTGCGTTAGCGCAGTTAGCTCGTTAACATGTTGACCGTCCAGCCCCACGCACGAGACCATCCGCGGTAACTCGTTAACGGAGATTTGCCGCCTTATGGCGTTAATGTCCTTTTAACGAGATTAACGCTGACAGCACTAGTGGGAACACAATGAATATGACTGCACATTTACGCCGACATCATCCTAGTGCAAAGACAAGTGGAAGCAGACAAAAACAACAAGCAAGCATGCTACAAACTTAACCCGAGTCATTTAGACAGCCGTTAGCACATGATTCTCCTTATGGGGACCTGATATGTGTAATATGCTGCTGAGAGTATAGCCCAGAAGAAGCGTATAGTATAGTGTAACTTTTATTTTGGAAAGAGCCATTTCTCTGTAATAAACTCTCTTTTCCAAAGATGAGTGATTTCTCGATCAGATAGATTTATTTATTTATTACTTTGTTGTTTCAGCAACATTAAATTTAAAAACTGCACTTTTGAGATAAAATATATATTTATAATTTTAATAAATGACAAATTAAAAAGGCATGAACACTTTTTTGTATCGAAAAAATATCGAACCGTGACACCAAAGTATCGAACCGAACCGTGAATTTTGTGTATCGTTGCACCCCTAATATATATATGTATGTATGTATGTGTATATATATATATATGCGTTACTCTAAATTGCAACCCAGTGAATTTGTAGGAGCTTGGATCTCTTAATCAGGCCAAATTAAGGGAGTGTCTTGTGAACATGCACTTGATACTTTCACTAAAAGTTTGTATTGGTGAGTCACTGATGTGAATCCTGACACCTCTATGGCTTTTGTTTTCTCTTAGGGGATGGAGGAAACGATGTCAGCATGATCCAGGAAGCGGACTGTGGCGTGGGAGTGGAGGGGAAAGTAAGACTCTCCATCTCATCGCTTCACATTGACGTGCCACTCGCACAGATTTTTGCTTTCTGTTTCCTGTCAAGATCTCTCTCACATTCAGAGAGTTGTAAAAGGACATGCACACAGATGATTCCTCTTTTTGAGGAACTATTGTGTGAATAGAGGAAACAAAATGACAGGATGCTTTGTGCTTTGTATTGTATATTTAACATAAAAGTAAGAATCTCCCATCAGCCCGTCTCTTCTACTTCTCATTGTTCTCTCTGAAAGTTGCCTGTCAAGTTGGTTAGTATGCTCAGACATGGATCCTTGTATTTGTGACAACAGTGGAATTACCGACAGCAGACGGTGCAGCTGTGCTCCTGGTTTAGTCTTTACTCTTTACTTTTTAACATAAAGTAAATAAGCATATTAAAATATGGAGTTTAGTACAGCTGACCTTAAAAGTTAAAAACTGCTCAATAGTTGACTGTAAATTTTATCTTTATTATGAAGAGAAACAAACTTACAAATCTGGTTGCAAACTAAAAGATGCTGTAGGTGACATACATCAGCGGTCCCCAACCTTTTTTGCACTACAGACCGGTTTAATGTCAGACCATTAAGGTGTCGCACATAAATACAACAAAATAAAATGATACGACCAAGACAAAAACTGTGGTATTTTGTAAATATAATAATAAACGCGAATTCACTGTGTAATTGTGTAACTTTATTAACAGCGTCCTCCTGAAATGCGCCAACAACAATGAGAGTAACATCCTCCTCTCTGCCCCTTAATGCTCTTTGGTTGCTGTGGTAACGTGTAAACATTTCTTTCAAAATAAGACACACAACTACAACACGGGAAAAGACCCAGGGAAACCGGGTAAACGATAAAAACCATAATTTCACACCCGGGCCTCAACTCTCGTGGCCCTGTACCAAACGACTCCACTGATGTACACAATTGATCTTTTCCGCTATCTTCTGTGTATTTATCGTCCATCGCTTTTCTTAACTGCTTATCCGTATAAAGTTTCACACAGCTGAAGCCTGTCCCAGGTGATATTGGGGCGAAAGGCTGGGTAAAGGATGACAAGTCCGAGACAGGGCTATCAGAGGCAACCATGCATACTCACATCCACACCAATGCAGATTCTGTGATTCTCAGGTTTTTCTTCTGCTATGTCCAAATTGAGAAAGTTCACACCACAGTCAATCAAGTTTTTCCTACAACTTTTTCTCCATATTTTTTAGCATGGCATCGTTGTCCTTTCTGCAGTGAGAACCACTGATCTAAGCTAACATGTTCAACTTTGGATTGTAGGGGAGATTCTATGCAGGCACAAAGAGAACATGAAAACAAATAACAGCAGGCTGGAACTCAGAAACCTTTTACTGTGAGGAAATGGTTGCTTACTACAGTACCACCATTCTGGCAATGATGCCCCCTATCCCAACAATCTTTGGGATAGGGGGCATCATTGCCAGATCTTAACTCTCTCATTTCATGCATACTGCATAGACAAACTCGTTCAGACTAATGTGCATAAAAAGCTGAAAACCATTTGGATTTTGGAAGGAAGATGGCGCACTTGGCATCTTAAATACATTTTTTCCGTATGTTCCAAACATAATCTTATGATGGTAAATAAAAGGTGGAAAACTACACAGTTATTCCTGGGCTGCTTGTCAGAGAGGAAGCTAAAGGTTTAATAACAGAAAATCTGCAGTTATATGAAAATCCTCTGGTTCTAACATCTCACACATGAATATTTGCTTGATTTTTAAACAGGAGACTCATTATCTGCAATGCTGCTTTTTGTGGTTTTGTATTGCTAATTATGAACTTTATGCTTATTGTACCTTCAGTCTGTTTCCCCCCCCAAAAAAAATCTGTTTTATTTGTACAAAATCAAAGCATGCTTTTCAGGTCAGTCTTTGCGCAGTATGTCCTCAGTGTCCTCTGCTGTGTGTTTGGCAGGAAGGAAAGCAGGCCTCTTTGGCTGCCGACTTCTCGGTGACTCAGTTTAAACATTTAGGCCGTCTCCTCATGGTCCATGGGCGGAACAGCTACAAAAGGTCTGCGGCCCTCAGCCAGTTTGTCATCCACAGGAGCCTGTGCATCAGCACCATGCAGGTAGACTAACAAATACACAGTGTCGTATTGGTTTGTGTGCATGAGTCATGTAAACATCAAGCTGAATAACTTAGAACTACAAGTATTTTCCACTTGCTGTGGGATAGTTTCTTGTTTTAGTTTGCAAAACTGTCACTACTTTATATTTTACTCCTTTATCAGTCTCCAGTTGTAACAATTTAGGTAATGCACCACACACTTGAGAGGGTGCTTTTTTCTGTGTTAAATATTGTGCTGGTAATCAGGATGTCAAGATATTTCAGTATGTTGTGAATTAAATTTAACCTTCTAAAAACAGTAAACTTCAGTGATCTAGAGATATTTCTCTTTTCTTTATTTTCTTTACTCCCATGCTCAACTGCATAATGTCAAAAAAAGGTTGAGATGATTACAAGCAAAAGGACTGTGTTTAGTGTTTGAATTTAGCTAATCGGTTTGGCCCTTTTCTGCTTGTTTGTAGCCAAAACCACACTGCAAAAAAAGTGTATGCAGCCTTAAAGTTAATGCAGGGAGGTGTTTTTTGTTCTTACTCACAGCACCTAAAATCTAAATGTAGAGAGCATCAGTTTGGGGAGAGGCAGGGAGAGGTTTCAGGGGTGGTCTTGAAAGGGCGGGATGCATGATGACTCAGAGAAGGCAGTCTGTGGTGCCCTTCTAAACTGCCCCCACCAGGCCTAACAAGTCTGTCTAGTTCCCATGTCCCAGTCCAACATCAGCCCCCGCGGTGGAGGGGCAACCCATGACTCATTGTATCGTGGACTTTGGGGTTTTGGGGAGGCCTTCCTCCGCATGTCTCACAATAACACCAACCACAGCTGGAGCTGTGACCTCTCCAGTTTGCAGCTGTCTGACTAATTGACATCTCATCATTTTAAACTGTAGAATTTACCATTGTAGTCCAAGTATTTGCAGTAGTTTGATTTAGAATGATGTCCTTGTGGTCACCTTTTGATTTTTGTGTTCCCACAGAAGGTTAATGTTTAAGCTGGGTTTCTTTTAATGGGGCGTATTATACTTTCCCTTTTTTTTTTTCATAGAAATGTTATTAGAATTGGTGGATGGTTATATTAAGGATGGCCAAAGCAGTTACCCTTAAAATCTCACATAGTTATATCTATGAGCACAACCATACCTGCTGTTCAAGTCTTCTGTTAATGGAGGGCAACCTATCAAAAGCTTAAAGGAAGGTGTAAGGAGTTTAAAAATCAGTTTTAAACTGTGAATCATGCAAAAGTACTCGATTAAAAATGAGTATAAAAGGCCTCCTTTAATGAAAGTATGGTGTTTTTTCTGTCATGGAGTTCAAATATCAGTGTGTCAATGTTCCAATACTGCTTATAATATCATTTGGGTGTTGAAATGAGAAAAATCTCAGATAAGAGTTTCTCATTTGTTCTTCTTCTGTTTCTTTAGGCAGTTTTCTCCTCTGTTTTCTACTTTGCTTCAGTCCCACTCTACCAAGGATTCCTGATTATTGGGTAAGATACACGCTCTGAATGGAGATGACTTATCAAGAGAGCATTTAGCTGCCTTGTGTCCCTGGCATTTCCTCTGTGTTAAGACTATTGAAATGTTTAAAAGGGGAAATATGCAAAATCTTACAATGAAAGATTTCAACTAATTTGTACACGTGACATTTTATCTGGGAAGTATTCATCACACTCGATTTTTGTCTGTTTCAGCTATTCCACTATCTACACCATGTTCCCTGTCTTCTCCCTGGTGTTGGACAAAGATGTTAAGTCAGAGGTTGCCATGCTATACCCAGAGTTGTATAAGGATCTTTTGAAGGTATCTAGTAAATGTTCGCAAATTAACTATTGCTGTGCAGGCACGTAGCTTTGAATCGGTGAATATGAACGCACTGTCTTCTTTTCACAGGGTCGACCACTATCTTTCAAGACGTTCCTATTATGGGTTTTAATAAGTATATATCAAGGTAAGAGAGAGTTTGTGCAAACTGCTGGCAATGAGTCAGTAATTCTAAATATACTTAATTTTTAAGTACTTTACAACATCTAAGCTGTATTTCAGGTCATATGTTTGTTTAAATGTTTGTATCTGTACAAGACGTCTACACTGGCAGACTGATGAGTCACTCCCCGTCAAACAAACAAGTTGCTTAGGTTCATGACTTATCACTCTTGAAAAGCCCACACACTTTCTTCTTTTCTTTAGGGACTTTGTTAAAGAAAAACTTGAGGTAACTTTCCGACATGGACCGTTGCAATGAAAGCTGTTTACGCGGGCATTCTAAACTACACCCCGAAACCTTTTTTGTCTATTTCTGTCGAAACACTGTATATCCAAGCAGTGGTAAGGGCGTTTTTTGCAAACCACTTCTGTGTGTTTGTATCATTCTTCTCGGTCCTATTCATGCTTGTATGTTAAAGGAGGCACGATTCTATTAGATAGAAGAGTGCTACTGTTACTGGCCAAAGATTACTTTGGAAAATCTCTCATAACAACCATAATATGCAGGAAATGCCTAAATGTAATGGTGTTTTAAGGAGGTAATGAAGTGGGCTTTATTCTTCTTATATAAGAGCAAATTTTTCTCTTTTAAATTAATATTTTGATTAATTTATTTTTTTTTAGTCTCTGTAATAAGCCAAACACATTGGCCACTTTATTAGGTATACCTTGTCAGCCTACCTTAATTCTTTACTGCGATGGTTCAACGAGGCGCTGAAAACTTTACTCTGAGAGTTTTGGTACATATTGACAAGACAACATAAAGTAAATAAACAGTTGCTGAATCTCCCATTTCTCCACATCCACATTGCAAAGGTTCTCTATTAGGTTGATGTCTGCTGACTTTGGAGAACATTGAGTACAGTGAACACGTTGCGATGTTCACAGCATTTGAACTTTGTGACACGATGGTTTGTTATCGAGCATCAGAATCAGCATACTTTATTAATCCCCAAGGAAATTATGTGGTTACAGTTGCTCCAGTATAAATAACAGAAACAGACTAGACTATTTAACAATATGTTACAGATTTAGGAAATTTAAGAAATAGCACAATATATACAAATCACTCAATAATTAATATCAAGGATTGACAGAGGTGATTGCAATTATAAACAGGGCTGCACATAAGTGGTCCGCAGGTGCGCATTCGCTGTCAAAATAAAAGACGCGCACCAGATAAGAAGTCACAACGCGCGTTTGCGTACATAAGATTTTCTGGAGGAGGACAGACGTTTGTTTAGAACTCTTAAAGATGTTGAAGAAGCGCCTTTAAGCAATCACCTTCAAAGAAATGTCAGAAGGAGTCGGAACTGCAAAAGAAGCGCGTATTCTCGGAAAAGTGGTTGCGGGAGGTGAGCTGGCTTCAAATAAATGATGAACGCGCAGAGATGTGGTGCAGAATATGCCGTGAAAATCCCACTCTAGCGGACAAAAACACTGCCTTTTATAAGTGAGTGAACGCGCGTTGCAACTTGTCATTTGGTGCGCGTCTTTTATTTTGACAGCGAATGCGCACCTGCGGACCCCCTGATTATAAATCAAGAATTGACAGGAATTTTACATAGTAGAAAAGAGCATGTGCAAAAAGGCTGTAACTATTGCAGTGTTTACAGTGTGTTAGATGGAGGAGCTGTACAGAGAGATGGCCACAGGCAGGAATGATTTTCCGTGTTGTTCAGTGGTGCTTTTTGGTAATCTCAGTCTCTCACTGAATGTGCTCCTGTGGCTAGCCCGCATGTCGTGGAGTGGGTGGGAGGTATTATCCAACATTGTCTTTATCTTGGACAACATTCGCCTCTCCGACACCACCTTAAGGGAAGCCAGCTCCATCCCCACAACATTACTGGCCTTACGGATCAGTTTGAGTCTGTTGGCGTCTGCAACCGTCAACCTGCTGCCCCAGCATGCAACAGCATAGAGGATAGCACTGGCCACAACAGGCTGATGGGAAATCCTGAGCATTGCCCGACAGATGTTGAAGGACTTCGGCCGCCTCAGAAAATAGAGACGACTCTGGCCCTTCTTGTAAAGTGCAGTGGTGCTTTTAACCCAGTCCAGTTTTTTGTCTATGTATACTCCAAGGTATTTATAGTCCTCCACAATGTAGAGGATGGTACGCTGGTGTTATCGTCAGTACCCAGCTAGGCAGTGACATGCAAATGAAGTTTAGTTGATATCAAAGCGTGTCTGTTCTTAGCATGTCAGCGTGTCGTACATTCATCTCTGAATATCTTGGTTGTAACGAGTGCTTGTTTGTGTTACTCTTCCCTTATTGTCACTCGAAGCAGTCTGGCCATTCTTCTCTGACATCAACATTACATTTTATCCTAGAAAGCTACCATTCGCTGGATATTTTCTCTTTTTCGGGCAATTCTCTGTAAACCCTAGAGGTGGTTGTTTGGGAAAATCCCAGTAGATCAGCAGTTTCTGAAATACTCAGACCAGCCCTCCTGTCACGAACAATTGTGCACATTCAAAGTCACTGTAGTCACACAAACATGCAGACACCCCCATTTGGATTCTCAGTTTGAACTAAGCACCTCAGTTTTCCTTTTATTCAAAGCAGAAGTTTCATTATTGTCATTGTTATACGATGAGATTACCATAAATATTTTATATCTTCATTGTCATTATTTTAATAAAAACAAATTGTATCAGTGTAATGGTAAACAGCTTATTTCAAACTGTGGATGAGCTGAGGAGGTGGATCAAGTTAAATCATCACATTTTTAAGCTTTAATTACATTAAGGCCTCTTTTTCCTCCACAGGGAGCATCATCATGTATGGAGCAATGCTGCTCTTCGAGTCCGAATTTGTCCATATCGTTGCTATTTCGTTCACCTCTCTTATCCTGACTGAGCTACTGATGGTGGCTCTGACCATTCAGACATGGCACTGGCTCATGATAGTTGCCGAGCTCCTGAGCCTGGCTTCTTATATCGCCTCGCTCGTCTTCCTGCACGAGTTCATCGGTAAGTTAACACGATCACACACAGATGCCTTTATCAGACAAAGAGTGACTTTCAGGCTGAAGCGCTGTCTAATTCCTGGGGAAGCAAAGGAAAATGCATTCATTTCTGAATTGATTTCACTACAGTGTTATTTAGTTTTTTTGCTGACCTTGAAATAGTACGTCAGCAGTACAGAGACCCCGCTCATTCATATTGTGTCTCTAGTGTATAATAAACAGTGGTATGCTGAATATTAGGAAGTCCAAAGCTGACTGTATTGACAAATTCTCCTGGTGTGGACAACAGTCAGGCATGCTGTAGTATCAAAGAGGAAATGCCTACAGTCCAGTTAGTTTCCTGTGAGCTTCCAAGGTTTATGTGTTTATCACAGCAAAGGTGTGTTAGAGAATATTACCCAAAAAAAAAACAATGTTCCAACCAAATAAATAAATTTATAGCCATTAAAAATCTAAAAGAAAAACATTCATAGAACAACAGTTTATTGCCCTGTTGCACCCACACATTTACTTTAGTTGACAAACAGTAAGGCATTTTTAGTTGTGCCATATTAAGATTCGTGACATACACAATACTGTGACCAAGGGCTCTTCAAGGTCTTATTTTGAGCTTTATGTGGGGTGTGGAGTTCCATTTTCAGCCTGCAACCTCGACCACTGAGGATCATGACTGGCATGTGGTCAAGAATACCCTTTTGGTACACGTTTTCTCCCTCTTCAAGTCAGACTAGAATAGATTTTAAAGCCTATTCTTCTGCTGAATGTGCAGTTTACACTTTTAATTGGACATTTTCCAGGGTTTATTTTTCTGTCTCCTGCATTCTAAGCATTCTGTACCCATATGGCTTTAACTCAAAAAGACTTGGTCAAGAACTCCTGAAGGAAATTGTGTTCTTTTTTAAATATGGAAAATGTATACCATAAAATTGTAAACTGCGAGGTGTGCATTTCCAGTAAGACACTGATAGGGTTCGGGGGTACAGATGGTGTGATGTAAGGCAGTGTGTGTGTGTGTGTGTGAGGTATAAGTGCATGCCAGTGTTAGAAAAACAATAGGAAGTAGTTTGGCCTGCTGAAGAACAATGAGCAGCATAGAGGCTACTTCAAAGCCTTATTGATGCAAAAATGAAAGCAGAAGCATTATACGCATTAAGTGTGTTTCAGTGTGGTCGTGCTTTCTGAGATCATCATGGTCTCATTTCCTATTTTCATTGCACAAAGAATAGTTTTGAAGTACAAAAATGATGTAGCTTTATAACCCCACATCCTGTCTGAAAATCCTCTTATTGTTTCCATCACTATCTAACGCTGTAACCGTTGTCTGTACACCCATGAGTATAAGATAAGATAACCTTTATTAGTCCCACATGTGGGAAATTTGTTTTTGTCACAGCAGAAAGTGGACAGTGTAAAGTTATATAGCAAAAATTAGAATACAATAAGAATAATATACTGTACACAACTGTGCAGAATAGAATCAAATAAAATACTATATACATTAGAATAAAATATACAATAGGATAAAAATAGAATACAAATGCTGTATACAACTGAGTGAAATTACAACAGAATAATAATATGCATCATTTTAATTAAAACACCTTCAAAACTATTAAATTCCATTAAACATAGGTTGGAGTTTCCTCAGTCTTTTTAGCGGTGTCACCACTGCACAAGCTAATATGAAGTAGGCTGACACATTAGTACACGTTAGCTGTTAGCTTTTAGCATTAGCTAAAAATTAAAACACCACTTAAAAAATTGTCAAACAAAACAAACAAACCCTGGTGGTTAGGCTCAAGGTTAGACAAGGGGAAAAGTCATTTTATACCCATTGACCCTGAGGGAGCACCAAGTCTTGCAATACACTGAAATTCTGAAGGTGATGAAACAGACCTTGGTAGCCAGCATTCAGTGTGTGAAACTGGGAGGATGTATGTTTAAGGACAAAAAGAAAAACAGCTGCTGTTGATGGTTGAAGTCAGTGTCTGGAAATACTTACAAAGCAAACTGCACTGTGTGTGAATGTGTTTTAGACTTTATTTATGTGCATTTCTATTGCAAGTTTGCATTTTTATTAAAAGTCTAGTCTTAATTTTAATTCAAAGTGGCATTGAAAAGATATTTAAAATTCTGTACCTGCAGACACTCTAAAACAACAACAATCAGCTTGTAGCCCAGACATAAAGAAGTCAGAACTGAACTCTTAACACAGCAAAATTAGCTGAGTTGCAGGTGCGAACAGAAATGTTTTCAATCCTGAACTCTTGTATGATGGTGGGACATGTCTGTTTGTATCCTATAACAACGATCTTACCTTTACCTCTTTTTTGTGTCAGATATTTATTTCATCACCACCGTATCGTTCCTGTGGAAAGTGACTGTCATCACGCTGGTGAGCTGTCTGCCCCTGTACATCCTCAAGTACCTGCGCAGACGCTTCTCTCCACCCAATTACTCCAAGCTGACCTCTTAAACCAAGGTCTCCTCCGAGAGGTCTCAGGATTTGTTTTTTGCGGGAAAACACAAAGATTTTCCTCTCTTTGAACTGCAAACCTGCACCTTGACCAGAGAATCAAATACAGATAAACGCCCTTTAATTTTCTCTGAAAAACTCTTGTTAGAAATGTCAAATGTAGACTGAATCGACAGGGACAGATTGTTTACTGGTTGGGAGAGTTTGTGTCAGTTTAAAAAAAAAAAACAACAACAAAACTGTGTTAATTGCATGTATTTTCATGAAAGGACAGACTGATTGATCGTTATTGTGAAGAGCACCTGCAACAAATTGTGGGATGGATTAGATTGACCAGCTTAGACTGGTTTCAGTTGTCCTGTCAGCATTAAAAACATCCCTAACATTAATATACCTGAAACCATTTAGTCTGAATGTAATAAATGCAAAATACAAACAGCTTTCAGTGAATTTTGCAGGTCCAATTTGTTCTATATTTAGGAAATTACACTGGAAAGTTAACTCATTTAGACATCTGTAGATGTATCACTGGTTTTGCAAAGGAATTTGGTCTAATTTCCAGTTCCATCTTAAATAGTAAATTAGTTTTTAATCTAAGAACTGGAATTTGACGTAGCATTTTCACTCAGGACTTGGGTCACACTCTCCTTAAACAGTTATTTCTAAACAGAGTTTGAGAATTGTACGGTTACGGTTAAGTTTGCTGGCTAGACTGCATAAAACAGACGTCTGCAAGTTTGTGCATTTGTTTATGCGTCACCTCGAAGCTACATCCCAGCACGGCGGAGGTGGTGTGGTAGTTTATTTTAGCATGACCCGTGGTGTCTGATGTTAAATCTGTCCTTGTCTCATTGTGCGGACCCTGAGTTGTTATTGTTTGTGGAGCGTGGTCAAAACGACCACAAAGGAGTGCCGGTTATTTGCAGCCGAGCCTTCCGCCGGGGCTCCCGACAGGCTGTTTGTTCACAGGAGAATGCACAGTCTCTAATGTGGCCACTTGGGCAGGCCAGCAACGGCCACGCTTCAGCATTGCATGATGACTCACTGTAACAGTGACCTAAAGCCATAACTGAAAATACCCCGGTGACCGGCGTCCAGCCGCCACCTTTCATGTCAGCTAATCCAGGGCCCCCTCACTTCTCACTGCAACAACAAAAAAAGGGATCAAATCAACACACTACTCATCCAAATGTGAATATTGTCAATAAGTATTAGTACTGCACCTTCAAAGAAAAGCTTCACGATGCTACACTCCTCATATTTCATTTCACTAGTGGTGTGATGGTGGACTGTGAAAAATCAGCAGCTAACATGACCACATTGTTTCAGTTTTAAAAAGGCGTTACTTTTCTCTTATGTAATTAATATGTCAGTATCCAGGGTGCCATAATTAATTTTGTATGCTAAATGGGAATTTCAGTCTTCACTGACTACAGCAAGCTGTTTGCACTGAATCTTTTTTTTTTGTACAACTAATTAGTATATTTTTATGTTGTAATTGAAGTGCAGAGCGTAAATGATGCTAAAATGGTTTGCTTGCTTGTAAATAACATAATTTTTAATTTATTGCCATGTTTTATTTAACAATGTTGTTTGCACTCAAATGAGCAGAACAAAAAAGGGAGAACTGTGCTGATGTTAATGTTGTGATGATAATTAATAAACATGTTTTCTTTAATTGTGCCATCCTTGGGGATATTTTTTTACTTTTACTATTCTTCTTCACACCATGATTTCCAGACGATCCTGATCCTTATATCTTAAAGATCTCAGCTGATATCATTGCCGAGCCAATCGCTCACATTTTTAATACGAGTCCAGCTCCCTACCTAATATTTGGAAAGCTGCCTCTATTCTCCCTTTCTTTAAAGGTGGAGATCATCCTGAAATCTTTGAATCTTAGGTAAGTTTGCTATTATAAAAGTTTTTAATCTGCTTACATTTTAAGGTTATTTTCAGTCTGGTTTTACGACTAGGGACAGTATAATTACTGCTGCTACAACTGTGATAAATGATCTCATAGGTGCCGTGGGCAGGAAAGTACACTGTGCTGTCTTGTTTCTGGATCTAAGTCATTTGATTCAGTGGCTCAAGGATTGCCCCTGAAAAAAGCACTTTAATGCTACTCTTGGTCCTGAGGCTGTTAGGCTAAAGGATTTTGAAATTATTTTGTAAATTGAACTCTGTGTTTATGTAGAGGACCCTAAATTTGTTAACCCTAAAGTTAACTAAGGGTGTGCCGCAGGGCTCTATTGTGGGGCCTATTTTATTGCCTTGTTTTATGAATGCTTTAGTAAAGAACATTCCTGCGAAAATACATTTTTATGCTGACGATACTGTCATGTACACACATGCTGCCTCTGTGGGGCAGGCAGGCTGGATTTCACTCATTCATTACAAACTGTATTTAAAAGTGATTTTTAAATATTTAACAAAATTTATGTTCCTGCCTGCAGGAATTTGATGATTTGATGCAGGAATTTGTGACATCTGATGGTAAATGAACGGGTACATACTTACCAGTATATGATTAGATGACAAGTTTCTCTTTAATGTAGATGTCACAAATTTTCTTTGAGTTCTAAGCTCAAAGTAAAGTTTGTTTGTTCTTTTTAGAAACTAAAGTTAATTTATTTGTTATTATAAGAAAAAAAATGTTTTATTGTACTGTGGATTATTTTATTACAAAGCTTGTCACTTACCATGTCTTTATGATTTGGTAGTTTGGCCATCAAATACAACTTGCAGAAAACAGCACTGGTATATTTCTCTTCTATATTTGACCTTTGTACCCTTCTCTGTCCCAGTACCAACAGTTACAATTAACGAGGGTGTTTGTTTTTGTTACTATGCACACCGGACATGGCATAATTTACAAAAAACCTAAACTTAAACATGGATATATATTTGGTGGTGAATTTAAAAGCATCACAAATGAGCACCACTTTAGCTCAATAGGTGAGCATTGCCAGAGTGCAGCAGCCCAGGTTTGAGTGTGACCCTTGGCCCTTTGCTGTGTGTCTTCCCCCTTCACTGGTCTACTATCCAATAAAATAAAAAATAAAAAAGGGGATGAAGGAGATTTCTTGATTATTTTTCTTGAGAGGCCACTGATAAGGCTACTTGTATACTCTATTTTATGTTGGTTTCTTTTAGAGCTTTTGAGATGTTTTGAGTAGATATGGCTGCTACCTAAGCCAGGCCTCTCCTGCAAAAGAGATTTGCTCTCAATGGGACTTCCTTGTTAAATAAAGGTGATAACTGTAATCCCTTTTGCTCAGCGTTGCCTAACCAAACGTCAGTGGTCAGCAACAGGCTATGATAAGAAGAGTATATAAAGAAAACATTTGTGAATGAAACTTTCATGCTTTCATTTCCTCTGAGCGATCCTTGTTAATGGAGTTTGGATTGAAACCAAATTATGTTTGTCTGCTGAAGCAATCCTGGCTTCTCTGGTTGTGTTCCACTTCAGTTTCTGATGAGGTGCAAGTTACACAGGACACACAGAGCCTGGATGTTTGGCTCTCTCTCACCAGAGGAGGGAGTCCCTGGTACCTAGAGACACTTCTGTTTTCCATTCATGGTCACGACCTGCATGTTTTAATCTCATTTCAGTCTTAATGAGAAATAATATAACACAAAATATCATCTGACTTTATTAGAAATATTATCACAGCTCATAAAATCCATAACTTGGTGGAAAACGCATCTGTTTTAAATCAATGTCCATGCTCTGTGAGAATTTTTAGAAGCAACCTTATTAATTGTTCATGTAAGTTAAAAGTGTTTGTTTGCTTGGCATTTCAGCTCAAGGATTAAACAGGACTAGATTCTCAGTCATAAAACCTTTTCCTTTTTTCAAAATGCAGTCAAGCGCCTCAGAACGGCATGTTCAAATTAAAACTACAGTGTTTATCCAACTTTTTTTTCTTGTTCCATGCCCAAATGCGTAAGTTATACCATTAAAAGAAACCATTTAACTTAATCTGTCCCATGAAAACTGAAATTCCACTCCAGAATCAACAGAGCTGCCTGCTAACCTCAACATTTTGGTCTTTCCTCCTGTCCCGATGCCAGCTACAGAGCTCCTGCTGGCTCACTGCCAAGTTCACTATCCAGTTAACAATCTCAGTAAATCTTCAAATTAACATTTAGTATTTCACAAGATTTTGACTTTAAGGCTTTGAAAAAAAAGGTAGCATATAGCTTTTATGTAACAGATCTAAGCTAATTACCACAACATCGCTGCATTTTATCTTTGGCACTTCAACACATGAATTTGTTTCCAGCTTGGAAACATCCTCCACACAGCTCCCAGTGGAACAGCGCAATAGAGAAGCAGACTATCATGAATCTGCTACAGAATATACCACCAGCTGTAACAGGCCCCTGACTAGAGTGGTTAATACAAATGATAGCATGGAAACATGTGGGATCTATACCCAACTTTAAGGCCAAGGCAGCCACATCAACGAGGTCCCAAAGCCATTGCCAATTTCCTACAGACAACACTAACTTCTGCTGCATGGTTTCAGCCTGAGGTCAGCCTTGCTTCTGGATTGGTTAAAGGCATAATGAATTCGCGCAATAGACCAAATTTGAATAACACTCCTAGGATTATAGCCCACATTAAGCTTATCTGCTGAGCTGCTTTGAAATAACAGAAACCATTGACGGATTATTTGAAACGACACAAAATAATGAACACGCCACTGCAGATGAATTGTTTACTACTCGCTGTTATTGCTCTGTGTAAACACTGGATTTTGGCAATGACAGGCTCCTCACAGAAACTTTGCAAGGCATGAACACACACCCTTCTCTGACACTATTTATAACCCTGTGGGCCTGGAATGCTTTGATTTGTCTCGGCACCCACCACTGTTAAAGAAGGGCTGCATATGTGTTTCGCTGCCTCTCCCAGCGATCACTAATCACATTGGGTAATACCTCCCAAACTAATCAAACAAAACCGCCCAAAACACTTTAAGACTTTCGTTGCAATATAAGTTAAAAAAAATGGAGTGATTAGTTGTGATTGTTGAGCCCAAAATACCTTCAATTGTTGTTATAAATGGAGTTGTAATAGGAGGAGTAAGGTTTTTTTTTTAGCTGCAGTTTTGGATAGGATTTATTTAACTTTGTTATGACTACCAAATATTGACTTTTATGCTTTCATTTTTGCACTGATAATAGATAGAGAGAGAGATCTAATGAAACACTGCTGA